AAGCGGGAGAATGGGGCGGGGTGATGGAAAGCGGGAGAATGGGGCGGGGTGATGGAAAGCGGAAGAATGGGGCGGGGTGATGGAAAGCGGGAGAATGGGGCGAGGTGATGGAAAGCGGGAGAATGGGGCGGGTGATGGAAAGCGGAAGAATGGGGCGGGGTGATGGAAGGAGGAGAATGGGGAGGGGTGATGGAAAGCGGTGGAATGGGGCGGGGTGATGGGAAGCGGAAGAATGGGGCAGGGTGATGGAAAGCGGGAGAATGGGGCGGGGTGATGGAAAGCGGAGAATGGGGCGGGGAGATGGAAAGCGGGAGAATGGGGCGGGGTGATGGAAATCGAAGAATGGGGCGGGCTGATGAAAGCGGGAGAATGGGGCGGGTGATGGAAGGAGGGAGAATGGGGCGGGGTGATGGAAGGAGAGAGAAGGGGGCGGGGTGATGGAAAGTGGGGAAATGTGGCGGGGTGATGGAAAGCGGAGAATGGGGTGGGGTTATGGGAAGCGGGAGAATTGTTATAGTCACAGTAGGCTCCAATGTGCCTAAAACGAAAGATAGAGTGCACAGTCGGATTTCTGCACAGCGGCTTCAAACGTTCATAGCGTTTCGGTCACAGCTTCAAATGACTTGATTCAACTTGGATCTGGAGCGCCTTATTGTCGCCTACAATAGGCAATTTAGATCGCACGATTTGACCAAGTATTGACGACACAGGGTTGGTTTGAACGAACGGCACTATGGCAGCCACTATGGTCTTAGAACACAAGATAGGAAAGGTTAGGAAGAGTTACGAGTTGGGGAATGACTCCCAGCTCCTACAAACCCCAAGAGCCGAGGTACAGTGATGTGGAACAGTGCCACACTGTCCCCAACCACGAAGGGTCTCGAAACTACCCTTCACTAGGGCCTACACCAAGTGAAATGTTACACTACACAAAGTAATGTAACTATCTTCAATATCTTGAGGTGTACCCTTTTGGCGAGCTTTGAAATCACTTGTGGATTGACACCAAGGCTCGGCTCTTCATCACAAACTCATCCTTGAGTTCTTGATGGGTCTGCTGCTCACACCTGCGACACACCGAACGTTCGACACAGGACAAAAGAGAAACCGTGCACGACAAAATAGAAATTGCGCGCGAGACACAAACGACCACGTAACACGTGTCTAGCGATAACTCGCTATTGACTCGACACATACACTCGACATCATGACTCAACATTCACACACAATTATAAGCATTAAATATATATTATCCCATGCCCTCATACCATTCCATAGACACACACACATGCACGCACACGGACAACAAGCCGAGTGCAAACCATAGGGTTGCACCAACAAACTCCCCCTCGGATTGTTGGCCTTAGGATGTGTTGCTCTGTCAGTTCAGAGCCATCCCAGCCAGCTTGCAACACTTCCAATGCTGCTGCTCCACCAGCCTCTTGGTCATCATGTCAGCCGGCTGCCCCGTGGTCTTCACGTAGCGCAACTCAACTTCACCCGCGGTTACCATGCTCCTCGTCCAATGCCACTTCACCCTCATGTGCTTCGTGAGTCCATGCAACACAGGGTTCTTAGCAAGAGCAATGGCACCCTGGCTGTCACAATACAGTGGGGTAGGTCCTTGCTGCTCCTCCCCCAATTCAGCCAACAAACGCCGCTGCCACACAATCTCCCGTACGGCACGGAAGAGTGCCATGTATTCGGACTCCACCGAGCTCAAAGCTTGGTCAACCTGCTTCTTGCTCTCCCAAGCAGTTGGGCCTCCACCAACACAGCATATGAAGCCTTCCACACTTGTCATGTCCTCTGGTTCTGATGCATATGAAGCATCCGAGTAGGCGGTGAGGAACAAACGCCCGGGTTCAACACCATCCGCGCCCTTTTGGCGCCTTTGTGCCGCCGCCGAGTATTGCAGCCCAACGGTCGCTGTTTGGCCAAGATACTTGGACACCCTCATTCCAGCTGCTACCTGCTCCTCATTAGGGCATTGCACAACCCTAGCCAGCTGCCCGGTAGCAAACGCGACGTCCGGTCGGGTGTTTACCGCCGCATACATGAGGCTGCCCACCAACGAGTGAAATCGACGCCTCTCCTCTTCTCCAACGCTCTCCTCCTCTGGCCCCTTCACACACTTGAACCCAGAGGGAAAGGGAGTAGCCACATGACCTTCACTCTGGCCGAAGTTGGCAGCCAACGCCTCCAGGTACTTCCGTTGGTGCACTCGCATGCTCCGCTTCTCCACGTCTCGTTCGATGTGGAGCCCAAGGTAGAAGTTCACGTCACCAAGGGACTTGCACTTGAACTTGTCATGCAGCTTCAGCATCACCTCCTTCACAAGGTCAGAGGAGGGTGAGAATATGAGAATGTCATCCACATAAACCACCATGAAGCTCCTCTGCTCCCCCTCGCCAAGCATGAACAAGGAGTGATCGGCCGTTGAGGGAGTGAAGCCGATCTCCTCCAACACTTCGCGCAGCTTCATGTACCATTGCCTAGGGGCCTGCTTCAGCCCATAGAGGGCCTTCTTCAGCTTCCACACTCTGCCACTACCATCATCAAACCCCTCTGGCTGTGCCATAAAAATCTCCTCCTCAAGGATGCCGTTAAGGAATGCCGTCACAATGTCCATTTGCTTCACCACCCATCCTTTGATGGCGGCTCCCGCGAATAGGGTTCGCAGCGTCGTCGGCTTCACCACAGGGGCAAACAGCTCCTTGAAGTCCACCTTCTCCTTCTACTGGTACCCCTTGGCTACAAGCCTAGACTTGTAGCGCTTGATCTTGCCGTCGGCATCCGACTTGATTTTGAAGAGCCACTTGGACGTTATCGCCGTACGCCCCTCCGGTAGCTCCACCAATTCAAACGTGTCATTCTCCTCGATGCTCTTCAGCTCACTCTCCAAAGCCTTCTTCCACTCCTCAGCATCACTACTCTCCAAAGCCTCCTTGAGAGTTGCTGGTTCTCCCGGCATCTCCACCGGAGAGAAGAACGCGAAGGCACACTCCTCGTAGTCACTCTCCTCATCGTCTCCGACCATCATTGCCGCTCCGGCCAGGGCTGTCTTGCCTTGCTTTCCAAGTGCATCATAGGTCAGCCTATTAGGGGGTTGAACTCTCCTCTTCCCCCTTCCTTCCTCCTCAGCTGCAGCGACTTGAAGGCCTTGGCGTTGCTGCGGTGTGGCTCGATTCCGTGGAGCACTCGTGGTACGGGAAGGGAGTGACGGTGCACGCTCACTCACTTGCTGCACCTCCTCCTCTTCTTCCTCTGCATCAGTGGCCTCCTCTCCCCCTTTCACAAGGGAGGATTGCCTCGTGGTTGTGCTGCCGCTGCTCAGCTCCAAAGGCAGCTCCACATGCTCCAAACCGGAACTCTTCACCTCCCCAAACCGCACGCCTATCTTCGCCTCATTCTCCGCCTTCCAATCCTTGTACATGAAGTTCTCCATGAACTTGCAGTCCCTGCTCACCAAGAACTTCTTGGTGAATGGGTCCCAAAGAAGCCATCCCTTGCTGTTTTGAGCCATGCCCAAGTGCACGGCCCACACCGCCTTGGCACCAAGCTTGTTGTGCCGAAGATGCTTAGGCACAAGCGCCATGCACATGCACCCGAACACCCGAAGCATATCCACCTTTGGCTTCCTTCCTAGCCACTCCACATAGGGCACCCATTTGTCTGCTCCCACATGAGTCAAGGCTCTGTTCTTGGCCACACATGCGCTCCGCACCGCATCAGGCCAGAAATAGTCGGGTAGCCCGGCTTCAATGAGCAACCCGCGTGCCGCCTCCGTGATTGTGCGGTTCGCTCGCTCAGCGATGCCGTTCATTGCAGGGGAGTATGGCATGGTGAGGGAGTGTCGAATACCATTCTTCTTCAGCCACAACCCAAACTCCTTGCTCAGGAACTCTCCCCCTCGATCGGTGCGGATTGACTTGACTAGACGGTCTTGTTGCCGCTCCACCATCGGGAACCAATCCGCCTTCAACGTTTCAGCCACGTTGCTCTTCTTGGCCAGCACGTACACCCAAGTCATACGGGTGTAGACGTCAACAATAGTGAGGAAGTACTCAGCTCCAGCAGCTCCAAGCTTCAGGGGGCCCACCACGTCCATCACCACCTCATCAAGTGGTGCCTTAGCCGTTGCCTCCGAACTAGAGAATGGGAAACGGGTGAACTTGGCTTGCATGCACGTCGGGCAGCCAAGTACCTCATCGGGCTCCCCCTTCACACGTATGCCAGCAACCATCTCATTCTTCACTAGCTGCTGCAAGATGGGCAGGGCCACATGCCCCATGCGCCGATGCAAGGTGAGCCAATCACACTCCCCCGTAGCCGAAGTTGGATTGGAGAATGCCGCGCTCGCAATAGCGCCCCACATACTCTCTCCGTAGTCCTCCTCCGCTGTTGCCTCGGGGTTCTCCTCACCCTTTTGCTGCTCCTTGGTTGCTGCACCACTCTCCTTAGGTTCACTGAACTTGCTGGTCCCTCCAAGATTGCACTTCTTGGACTCCTTCTCCTTAGCGCGACCGTCCGCGCAATCGCCGCTACCAACCGCTCCACCTTTAGTGCTGACGCTTGCTGCCACTTGCCTCTCCTTAGGCATTGGGACCACAGGGATCTGCCACATCTCGTTGTAGACATCTCTGTCCTCATGAAGGTCCCAAAGAATCCGATCGCCAAGCCTTGCGGTGTAGGTCTTGGCTCCCTTCGAGTTAGTGTCCATGCCGGCCTTTGCCAACCGCCGCACGGAAATCAGGTTTGCAGCAAGGCTGGGCACCCAAAGCACGTTCTTGAGGCCCACCATCTTCCCATCAGCACCCTTGAACATGGCCTTCCCCATGCCTTTCACCTCTGCTCGCTGCCCCAAAGCCGATGTGACATGCTTCACCGGTGACGGCTCGAGTTCGGTGAGCAAGTCCGGGCGAGGTGTCATGCTATAGGTAGCGCCACTATCAATCACCCAATAGTCCAGGGGGTGTAGGGTCACCTTCCCCACAGCTGCTGGCTCCTCAAAGCCTTCATCCTTCTCTGGACCAGCCGGTACTTGCGTCGACACGAAGTAGAATAGACCCGGGTATCGATCGTCGCTCGGGTCCTTGTCGTTGTCTCCGCTCTTCATGTTTGCAGCTCCGCCACCGCGACCGCCACGGCCTCCACGGCCTCTTCCTCTCCCTCCTCCTGCTCCTCTACCCTCTTGGCCTTGAGCAGGGGTCCAACCATCAGGGAGTTTGTAGCAGTCGCGCCACATGTGTCCGCTCTTGTGGCAATAGTGACACTCGCCGTCGAATCGGCCGCGACCGCGTCCGTAGTTCTTGTCGTCGCTGCCGTAACCGCCACTCCCACGGCCTCCGCCGAAGTTGCTGCCACCAAACCTTCCTCCCCCTCGTCCTCTGCCTCTTCCTCGACCATATTCTCAGCCGATGCTCGCTGCCCCAGCGCCATCCGCACTCGCCAACTCACGGCGGCGCAAATCCTCTTGAAGGATAGCTCGCTTCACGTCTTCAAGCGAAAGGCGGGGCAAGTCACGATTAAGGTTGATGATGAGCGAGGACCATGACTCCGGGAGTAGGGCCAGCAACTTGGTCTTCTTTTGGAGCTCACTATAGTTCAAATCAGCTCCCTCAAGCCGCGTCAACAAGTCGAAGAATTTCTGCACCCCTTCTTCAACCGCTTCATCCTCTTCAATTCGTAACGTCGCCATTTGCCGTTCCAACACCACAGCTATCGCCGCTGTTGCAGGAGCGTGTACACCCTTGAGAGCAGCCCATGCTTTTGGTCCCTTCTCTGGTTCACGCTGGAAGGGCTTGATGTGACGGATTTGGCTGCTCCCCAACGCTTGCCCAAGTAGGAGGTAGCCTTGTGCGCTCTTCCGCACCCACGGGCTCTTCTCCGGGTCGTTCTCGGGACGCTTCTCCGTTCCTTCCATCACCTCCAGCAGGTCATAGTGGTCAAATATGTTCTCCATTCTGAAGGACCACTCAGCAAAGTTGTCACCATTGAACTTGTCAAGGCCAAACACTCTAGGCTCATCCCTAGATGGGCCAACACTTGGTTGCACGGGCGCCATGGCTGAGTCACGGGGTTGGCCTTGAGCTTGGGCTTCTCCTCTGCCACCAGCACCTCTGCCACCCCTTTCCTCAGGTCCAGCCATTGTCGAAACTGCTCCGAGGGGCTCTCATACCACTTGTTATAGTCACAGTAGGCTCCAATGTGCCTAAAACGAAAGATAGAGTGCACAGTCGGATTTCTGCACAGCGGCTTCAAACGTTCATAGCGTTTTGGTCACAGCTTCAAATGACTTGATTCAACTTGGATCTGGAGCGCCTTATTGTCGCCTACAATAGGCAATTTAGATCGCACGATTTGACCAAGTATTGACGACACAGGGTTGGTTTGAACGAACGGCACTATGGCAGCCACTATGGTCTTAGAACACAAGATAGGAAAGGTTAGGAAGAGTTACGAGTTGGGGAATGACTCCCAGCTCCTACAAACCCCAAGAGCCGAGGTACAGTGATGTGGAACAGTGCCAGACTGTCCCCAACCACGAAGGGTCTCGAAACTACCCTTCACTAGGGCCTACACCAAGTGAAATGTTACACTACACAAAGTAATGTAACTATCTTCAATATCTTGAGGTGTACCCTTTTTGGCGAGCTTTGAAATCACTTGTGGATTGACACCAAGGCTCGGCTCTTCATCACAAACTCATCCTTGAGTTCTTGATGGGTCTGCTGCACACACCTGCGACACACCGAACGTTCGACACAGGACAAAAGAGAAACCGCGCACGACAAAATAGAAACCGCGCGCGAGACACAAACGACCGCGTAACACGCGTCTAGCGATAACTCGCTATTGACTCGACACATACACTCGACATCATGACTCAACATTCACACACAATTATAAGCATTAAATATATATTATCCCATGCCCTCATTCCATTCCATAGACACACACACATGCACGCACACGGACAACAAGCCGAGTGCAAACCATAGGGTTGCACCAACAGGGTGATGGAAAGCGGGAAAATGGGGCGGGGTGATGGAAAGCGGGAGAATGGGGCTGGGTGATGGAAAGCCGGAGAATGGGGCGGGGTGATGGAAAGTGGGAGCATGGGGCGGGGTGATGGAAGGAGGGAGAATGAGGCAGGGTGATGGAAGGAGGGAGAATGGGCTGGGGTGATGGAAAGCGGGAGAATGGGGCGGGGTGATGGAAAGCGGGAGAATGGGGCGGAGTGATGGAAAGCGGGACAATGGGGCGGGGTGATGGAAAGCGGGAGAATGGGGCGGGGTGATGGAAAGCGGGAGAATGGGGAGGGGTGTTGGAAAGCGGGAGAATGGGGCGGGGTGATGAAAAGCGGGAGAATGGGGCGGGGTGATGGAGAGCGGGGAGAATGGGGCGGGGTGATGGAAAGCGGGAGATGGGGCGGGTGATGGAAAGCGGGTGAATGGTGTGGGGTGATGGAAAGCGGGAGAATGGGGCGGGGTGATGGAAAGCAGAAGAATGGGGCGGGGTAATGGAAAGTGGGAGAATGGGGCGGGGTGATGGAAAGCAGGAGAATAGGCGGGGTGATGGAAGGAGGGAGAATGGGGAGGGGTGATGGAAAGCGGGGGAATGGGGCGGGATGATGGGAAGCGGAAGAATGGGGCGGGGTGATGGAAAGCGGGAGAATGGGGCAGGGTGATGGAAAGCGGGAGAATGGGGCGGGGAGATGGAAAGCGGGAGAATGGGGCGGGGTGATTGAAGGAGGGAGAATGGGGAGGGGTGATGGAAGGAGGGAGAATGGGGCAGGGGTGATGGAAAGTGGGAGAATGTGGCGGGGTGATGGAAAGCGGGAGATGGGGCTGGGGTTATGGGAAGCGGAGAATTGGGCGGGGTGATGGAAGGAGGGAGAATAGGGCGGGGTGATGGAAAGAGGGAGAATGGGGCGGGGTGATGAAAAGCGGGAGAATGGGGCGGGGTGATGGAAAGCGGGAGAATTGGGCGGGGTGATGGAAAGCGGGAGAATAGGGCGGGGTGATGGAAAGGGGGAGAATGGGGCGGGGTGATGGAAAGCAGGGGAATGGGGCGGGGTGATGGAAAGCGGGAGAATTGGGCGGGGTGATGGAAAGCGGGAGAATGGGGCGGGGTGATGGAAAGCGGGAGAATTGGGCGGGGTGATGGAAAGCAGGAGAACGGGGCGGGGTGATGGAAAGCGGGAGAATGGGGCGGGGTGATGGAAAGCGGGAGAATGGGGCGGGGTGATGGAAGGAGGGAGAATGGGGCGGGGTGATAGAAGGTGGGAGGATGGGGTGGGGTGATGGAAAGCGGGAGAATGGGGCGGGGTGATGGAAAGCGGGAGAATGAGGCGGGGTGGTGGAAAGCGGGAGAATGGGGCAGGGTGATGGAAGGAGAGAGAAGGGGGCGGAGTGATGGAAAGTGGGAGAATGTGGCGGGGTGATGGAAAGCGGGAGAATGGGGTGGGGTTATGGGAAGCGGGTGAATGGGGCAGGGTGATGGAAAGCTGGAGAATGGGGCAGGGTGATGGGAGGAGGGAGAATGGGGCGGGGTGATGGAAAGCGGGAGAATGGGGCGGGGTGATGGAAAGCGGGAGAATGGGGCGGGGTGATGGAAAGCGGGAGAATCGGGCGGGGTGATGGAAAGCGGAAAAATGGGGCGGGGTGATGGAAAGCAGGAGAATGGGGCTGGGTGATAGAAAGCGGGAGAATGGGGCGGGGTGATGGAAAGCGGGAGAATGGGGCGGGGTGATGGAAGGAGGGAGAATGAGGCAGGGTGATGGAAGGAGGGAGAATGGGGCGGGGTGATGGAAAGCGGGAGAATGGGGCGGGGTGATGGAAAGCGGGAGAATGGGGCAGAGTGATGGAAAGCAGGACAATGGGGCGGGGTGATGGAAAGCGGGAGAATGGGGCGGGGTGATGGAAAGTGGTAGAATGGGGAGGGGTGTTGGAAAGCGGGAGAATGGGGCGGGGTGATGAAAAGCGGGAGAATGGGGCGGGGTGATGGAGAGCGGGAGAATGGGGCGGGGTGATGGAAAGCGGGAGATGGGGCGGGTGATGGAAAGCGGGTGAATGGTGCGGGGTGATGGAAAGCGGGAGAATGGGGCGGGGTGATGGAAAGCAGAAGAATGGGGCGGAGTGATGGAAAGCGGGAGAATGGGGCGAGGTGATGGAAAGCAGGAGAATGGGGCGGGTGATGGAAAGCGGGAGAATGGGGCGGGGTGATGGAAGGAGGGAGAATGGGGAGGAGTGATGGAAAGCGGGGGAATGGGGCGGGATGATGGGAAGCGGAAGAATGGGGCGGGGTGATGGAAAGCGGGAGAATGGGGCAGGGTGATGGAAAGCGGGAGAATGGGGCGGGGAGATGGAAAGCGGGAGAATGGGACGGGGTGATGGAAGGAGGGAGATTGGGGCGGGGTGAGGAAGCAAGGAGAATGGGGCGAGGTGATGGAAAACGGGAAAATGGGGTGGGGTGATAGAAAGCGGGAGAATGGGGCGGGGTGATGGAAAGCGGGAGAAGGGGGCAGGTTGATGGAAAGCGGGAGAATGGGGCGGGGTGATGGAAAGCGGGAGAATGGGGCGGGGTGATGGAAAGCGGGAGAATGGGGCGGGCTGATGGAAAGCGGGAGAATGGGGCGGGGTGATGGAAGGAGGGAGAATGGGGCGGGGTGATGGAAGGAGGGAGAATGGGGCGGGATGAAGTGGGAGAAAGTGGCGGGGTGATGGAAAGCGGGAGATGGGGCTGGGGTTATGGGAAGCGGAGAATAGGGCGGGGTGATGGAAGGAGGGAGAACGGGGCGGGGTGATGGAAAGAGGGAGAATGGGGCGGGGTGATGGAAAGCAGGAGAATGGGGCGGGGTGATGGAAAGCGGGAGAACGGGGCGGGGTGATGGAAAGGGGGAGAATGGGGCGGGGTGATGGAAAGCGGGGGGATGGGGCGGGGTGATGGAAAGCGGGAGAATGGGGCCGGGTGATGGAAAGCGGGAGAATGGGGCGGAGTGATGGAAAGCGGGAGAATGGGGCGAGGTGATGGAAGGAGGGAGAATGGGGCGGGGTGATAGACGGTGGGAGGATGGGGTGGGGTGATGGAAAGCGGGAGAATGGGGCGGGGTGATGGAAAGCAGGAGAATGGGGCGGGGTGGTGGAAAGCAGGAGAATGGGACGGGGTGATGGAAAGCAGGAGAATGGGGCGGGGTGATGGAAAATGGGAAAATGGGGCTAGGTGATGGAAAGCGGGAGAATGGGGCAGGGTGATGGAAGGAAGGAGAATGGGGCAAGGTGATGGAAGGAGGGAGAATGGGGAGGGGTGATGGAAAGAGGGAGATTGGGGCGGGGTGATGGAAAGCGGGAGAATGGGGCGGGGTGATGGAAAGCGGGAGAAGGGGGCAGGTTGATGGAAAGCGGGAGAATGGGGCGGGTGATGGAAAGCGGGTGAATGGTGCGGGGTGATGGAAAGCGGGAGAATGGGGCGGGGTGATGGAAAGCAGAAGAATGGGGCGGAGTGATGGAAAGCGGGAGAATGGGGCGAGGTGATGGAAAGCAGGAGAATGGGGCGGGTGATGGAAAGCGGGAGAATGGGGCGGGGTGATGGAAGGAGGGAGAATGTGGCGGGGTGATGGAAAGTGGGAGAATGTGGCGGGGTGATGGAAAGCGGGAGAATGGGGTGGGGTTATGGGAAGCGGGTGAATGGGGCAGGGTGATGGAAAGCTGGAGAATGGGGCAGGGTGATGGGAGGAGGGAGAATGGGGCGGGGTGATGGAAAGCGGGAGAATGGGGCGGGGTGATGGAAAGCGGGAGAATGGGGCGGGGTGATGGAAAGCGGGAGAATCGGGCGGGGTGATGGAAAGCGGAAAAATGGGGCGGGGTGATGGAAAGCGGGAGAATGGGGCTGGGTGATAGAAAGCGGGAGAATGGGGCGGGGTGATGGAAAGCGGGAGAATGGGGCGGGGTGATGGAAGGAGGGAGAATGAGGCAGGGTGATGGAAGGAGGGAGAATGGGGCGGGGTGATGGAAAGCGGGAGAATGGGGCGGGGTGATGGAAAGCGGGAGCATGGGGCAGAGTGATGGAAAGCAGGACAATGGGGCGGGGTGATGGAAAGCGGGAGAATGGGGCGGGGTGATGGAAAGTGGTAGAATGGGGAGGGGTGTTGGAAAGCGGGAGAATGGGGCGGGGTGATGAAAAGCGGGAGAATGGGGCGGTGTGATGGAGAGCGGGAGAATGGGGCGGGGTGATGGAAAGCGGGAGATGGGGCGGGTGATGGAAAGCGGGTGAATGGTGCGGGGTGATGGAAAGCGGGAGAATGGGGCGGGGTGATGGAAAGCAGAAGAATGGGGCGGAGTGATGGAAAGCGGGAGAATGGGGCGAGGTGATGGAAAGCAGGAGAATGGGGCGGGTGATGGAAAGCGGGAGAATGGGGCGGGGTGATGGAAGGAGGGAGAATGGGGAGGGGTGATGGAAAGCGGGGGAATGGGGCGGGATGATGGGAAGCGGAAGAATGGGGCGGGGTGATGGAAAGCGGGAGAATGGGGCAGGGTGATGGAAAGCGGGAGAATGGGGCGGGGAGATGGAAAGCGGGAGAATGGGACGGGGTGATGGAAGGAGGGAGATTGGGGCGGGGTGAGGAAGCAAGGAGAATGGGGCGAGGTGATGGAAAACGGGAAAATGGGGTGGGGTGATAGAAAGCGGGAGAATGGGGCGGGGTGATGGAAAGCGGGAGAAGGGGGCAGGTTGATGGAAAGCGGGAGAATGGGGCGGGGTGATGGAAAGCGGGAGAATGGGGCGGGGTGATGGAAAGCGGGAGAATGGGGCGGGCTGATGGAAAGCGGGAGAATGGGGCGGGGTGATGGAAGGAGGGAGAATGGGGCGGGGTGATGGAAGGAGGGAGAATGGGGCGGGATGAAGTGGGAGAAAGTGGCGGGGTGATGGAAAGCGGGAGATGGGGCTGGGGTTATGGGAAGCGGAGAATAGGGCGGGGTGATGGAAGGAGGGAGAACGGGGCGGGGTGATGGAAAGAGGGAGAATGGGGCGGGGTGATGGAAAGCAGGAGAATGGGGCGGGGTGATGGAAAGCGGGAGAACGGGGCGGGGTGATGGAAAGGGGGAGAATGGGGCGGGGTGATGGAAAGCGGGGGGATGGGGCGGGGTGATGGAAAGCGGGAGAATGGGGCGGGGTGATGGAAAGCGGGAGAATGGGGCGGAGTGATGGAAAGCGGGAGAATGGGGCGAGGTGATGGAAGGAGGGAGAATGGGGCGGGGTGATAGACGGTGGGAGGATGGGGTGGGGTGATGGAAAGCGGGAGAATGGGGCGGGGTGATGGAAAACAGGAGAATGGGGCGGGGTGGTGGAAAGCAGGAGAATGGGGCGGGGTGATGGAAAGCAGGAGAATGGGGCGGGGTGATGGAAAATGGGAAAATGGGGCTAGGTGATGGAAAGCGGGAGAATGGGGCAGGGTGATGGAAGGAAGGAGAATGGGGCAAGGTGATGGAAGGAGGGAGACTGGGGTGGGGTGATGGAAAGAGGGAGATTGGGGCGGGGTGATGGAAAGCGGGAGAATGGGGCGGGGTGATGGAAAGCGGGAGAAGGGGGCAGGTTGATGGAAAGCGGGAGAATGGGGCGGGTGATGGAAAGCGGGTGAATGGTGCGGGGTGATGGAAAGCGGGAGAATGGGGCGGGGTGATGGAAAGCAGAAGAATGGGGCGGAGTGATGGAAAGCGGGAGAATGGGGCGAGGTGATGGAAAGCAGGAGAATGGGGCGGGTGATGGAAAGCGGGAGAATGGGGCGGGGTGATGGAAGGAGGGAGAATGGGGAGGGGTGATGGAAAGCGGGGGAATGGGGCGGGATGATGGGAAGCGGAAGAATGGGGCGGGGTGATGGAAAGCGGGAGAATGGGGCAGGGTGATGGAAAGCGGGAGAATGGGGCGGGGAGATGGAAAGCGGGAGAATGGGACGGGGTGATGGAAGGAGGGAGATTGGGGTGGGGTGAGGAAGCAAGGAGAATGGGGCGAGGTGATGGAAAACGGGAAAATGGGGTGGGGTGATGGAAAGCGGGAGAATGGGGCGGGGTGATGGAAAGCGGGAGAAGGGGGCAGGTTGATGGAAAGCGGGAGAATGGGGCGGGGTGATGGAAAGCGGGAGAATGGGGCGGGGTGATGGAAAGCGGGAGAATGGGGCGGGCTGATGGAAAGCGGGAGAATGGGGCGGGGTGATGGAAGGAGGGAGAATGGGGCGGGGTGATGGAAGGAGGGAGAATGGGGCGGGATGAAGTGGGAGAAAGTGGCGGGGTGATGGAAAGCGGGAGATGGGGCTGGGGTTATGGGAAGGGGAGAATAGGGCGGGGTGATGGAAGGAGGGAGAATGGGGCGGGGTGATGGAAAGAGGGAGAATGGGGCGGGGTGATGGAAAGCGGGAGAATGGGGCGGGGTGATGGAAAGCGGGAGAACGGGGCGGGGTGATGGAAAGCGGGAGAATGGGGCGGGGTGATGGAAAGCGGGGGAATGGGGCGGGGTGATGGAAAGTGGGAGAATGGGGCGGGGTGATGGAAAGCGGGAGAATGGGGCGGAGTGATGGAAAGCGGGAGAATGGGGCGAGGTGATGGAAGGAGGGAGAATGGGGCGGGGTGATAGAAGGTGGGAGGATGGGGTGGGGTGATGGAAAGCGGGAGAATGGGGCCGGGTGATGGAAAGCAGGAGAATTGGGCGGGGTGGTGGAAAGCAGGAGAATGGGGCGGGGTGATGGAAAGCAGGAGAATGGGGCGGGGTGATGGAAAACGGGAAAATGGGGCGGGGTGATGGAAAGCGGGAGAACGGGGCAGGGTGATGGAAGGAAGGAGAATGGGGCGAGGTGATGGAAGGAGGGAGAATGGGGTGGGGTGATGGAAAGAGGGAGATTGGGGCGGGGTGATGGAAAGCGGGAGAATGGGGCGGGGTGATGGAAAGCGGGAGAAGGGGGCAGGTTGATGGAAAGCGGGAGAATGGGGCGGGGTGATGGAAAGTGGGAGAAGGGGGCAGGTTGATGGAAAGCGGGAGAATGGGGCGGGGTGATGGAAAGCGGGAGAATGGGGCGGGGTGATGGAAAGCGGGAGAATGGGGCGGGCTGATGGAAAGCGGGAGAATGGGGCGGGGTGATGGAAGGAGGGAGAATGGGGCGGGGTGATGGAAGGAGGGAGAATGGGGCGGGATAAAGTGGGAGAAAGTGGCGGGGTGATGGAAAGCGGGAGATGGGGCTGGGGTTATGGGACGCGGAGAATAGGGCGGGGTGATGGAAGGAGGGAGAATGGGGCGGGGTGATGGAAAGAGGGAGAATGGGGCGGGGTGATGGAAAGCGGGAGAATGGGGCGGGGTGATGGAAAGCGGGAGAACGGGGCGGGGTGATGGAAAGCGGGAGAATGGGGCGGGGTGATGGAAAGCGGGGGAATGGGGCGGGGTGATGGAAAGCGGGAGAATGGGGCGGGGTGATGGAAAGCGGGAGAATGGGGCGGAGTGATGGAAAGCGGGAGAATGGGGCGAGGTGATGGAAGGAGGGAGAATGGGGCGGGGTGATAGAAGGTGGAAGGATGGGGTGGGGTGATGGAAAGCGGGAGAATGGGGCGGGGTGATGGAAAGCAGGAGAATGGGGCGGGGTGGTGGAAAGCAGGAGAATGGGGCGGGGTGATGGAAAGCAGGAGAATGGGGCGGGGTGATGGAAAACGGGAAAATGGGGCGGGGTGATGGAAAGCGGGAGAATGGGGCAGGGTGATGGAAGGAAGGAGAATGGGCCGAGGTGATGGAAGGAGGGAGAATGGGGTGGGGTGATGGAAAGAGGGAGATTGGGGCGGGGTGATGGAAAGCGGGAGAATTGGGCGGGGTGATGGAAAGCGGGAGAATGGGGCGGGGTGATGGAGAGCGGGAGAATGGGGCGGGGTGATGGAAAACGGGAGAATGGGGCGGGGTGTTGGAAAGTGGGAGAATGGGGCGGGGTGAAGGAAAGCGGAAGAATTAGGCGGGATGATGGCAAGCGGGAGGATGGGGCGGAGTGATGGAACGCGGGAGAATGTGGCGGGCTGATGGAAGCCAGGAGAATTGGGCGGGGTGATGGAAGGAGGGAGAATGGGGCGGGGTGATGGAAGGTGGGAGGATGGGGCGGGGTGATGGAAAGCGGGAGAATGGGGCGGGGTGGTGGAAAGCGGGAGAATGGGGCGGGGTGGTGGAAAGCGGGAGAATGTGGCGGGTTGATGGAAGCCAGGGAAATGGGCCGGGGTGATGTAAGGAGGGAGAATGGGGCGGGGTGATAGAAGGAGGGAGAATGGAGCGGGGTGATGGAAGGAGGGAGAATGGGGCGGGGTGATGGAAAGCGGGAGAATGGGGCAGGGTGATGGAAAGCGGGAGAATGGGGTGGGGTGATGGAAAGCGGGAGAATGGGGCGGGGTGATGGAAAGCGGGAGAATGGGGCGGGATGATGGAAAGCGGGAGAATGGGACGGGTTGATGGAAAGCGGGAGAATGGGGCGGGGTGATGGAAAGCGGGAGAATGGGGCGCGGTGATGGAAAGCGGGAGAATGGGGCGGGGTAATGGAAAGCGGGAGAATGGGGCGGGGTGATGGAAGGGAGGAGAATGGGGCGGGGTGATGGAAAGCGGGAGAATGGGTTGGGGTGATGGAAAGCGGATTAATGTGTCGGGGTGATGGCAAGCGGTAGAATGGGGCGGGGTGATGGAAGGAGGGAGAATGGGGCGGGGTGATGGAAAGAGGGAGAATAGGGCGGGGTGATGGAAAGCGGGAGAATGGGGCGGGGTGACGGAAAGAGGGAGAATGGGGCAGGGTGACGGAAATCGAGAGAATTGGGCGGGGTGATGGAAATTGGGAGAATGGGTCGGGGTGATGGAGAGCGGGAGAATGGGGCGGGGTGATGGAAGGAGGGAGAATGGGGCGCAGTGATGGAAAGCGGGAGAATGGGGTGGGGTGATAGAAAGTGGGAGAATGGGGCGGGGTGATGGAAAGCGGGAGAATGGGGAGGGGTGAAGGAAAGCGGGAGAATGGGGCGGGGTGATGGAAAGCGGGAGAATGGGGTGGGGTGATGGAAAGCGGGAGAATGGGGCGGGGTGATGGAAAGCGGGAGAATAGGGCGGGGTGATGGAAAGCGGGAGACTGGGGTGGGGTGATGGAAAGCGGGAGAATAGGGCGGGTGATGGAAAGCAGGAGAATGGTGCGGGGTCATGGAAAGCGGGAGAATGGGGCGGGGTGATGGAAAGCGGGAGAATGGGGCGAGGTGATGGAAAGCGGGAGAATGGGGTGGGATGATGGAAGGAGGGAGAATGGGGCAGGGTGATGGAAAGCGGGAGAATGGGGCGAGATGATGGGAAGCGGGAAAATGGGGCGAGGTAATGAAAAGCGGGAGAATAGGGCGGGGTGATGGAAAGCGGGAGAATGGGGCGAGGTGATGGAAAGCGGTAGAATGGGGCGGGGTGATGGAAAGCGGGAGAATGGGGCGGCTGATGGAAAGCTGGAGAATGGGGCGGGGTGATGGAAAGCGGGAATATGGGTTGGGGTGATGGAAAGCGGGAGAATGGGGAAGGGTGATGGAAAGCGGGAGAATGGGGCGGGGTGATGGAAAGCGGGAGAATGGGGCGGGTTATGGAAAGCTGGAGAATGGGGCGGGGTGATGGAAAGCGGTCGAATGGGGCGGGCTGATAGAAAGCGGGAAAATGGGGCGGGGTGATGGAAGGAGGGAGAATGGGGCGGGGTGATGGAAGGAGGGAGAATGGGGCAGGGCGATGGAAGGAGGGAGAATGGGGCGGGCTGATGGAAAGTGGGAGAATGTGGCTGGGTGATGGAAAGCGGGAGAATGCGGCGGGGTTATGGAAAGCGGGAGAATGGGGCGGGGTGATGGAAAGCGGGAGAATGAGGCGGGGTGATGGAAGGAGGGAGAATGGGGCGGGGTGATGGAAAGCGGGAGAATGGGGCGGGGTGATGGAAAGCGGGAGAATGGGCCGGGGTGATGGAAAGCGGGAGAATGGGGCAGGGTGATGGAAAGCGGGAGAATGGGGCGGGGTGATCGAAAGCGGGAGAACGGGGCGGGGTGATGGAAAGCGGGAGAATGGGGCGGGGTGATGGAAAGCGGGAGAATGGGGCGGGGTGATGGAAGGAGGGAGATTGGGGCGGGGTGATGGAAGCAAGGAGAATGGGGCGAGGTGATGGAAAGCAGGAGAATGGGGCGGGGTGATGGAAAACGGGAAAATGGGGCGGGTGATGGAAAGCGGGAGAATGGGGCAGGGTGATTGAAAGCGGGAGAATGGTTCGGGGTGATGGAAGGAGGGAGAATGGGGCGGGGTTATGGAAGGTGGGAGGATGGTGTGGGGTGATGGAAAGCGGGAGAATGGGGCGGGGTGATGGAAAGCGGGAGAATGGGGCGGGGCGGTGGAAAGCGGGAGAATATGGCGGGGTGATGGAAATTAGGAGAATGAAGCGAGGTGATGGAAAACGGGAAAATAGGGCAGGGTGATGGAAAGCGGGAGAATGGGGCAGGGTGATGGAAGGCAGGAGAATTGGGCGGGGTGACGGAAGGAGGGAGAATGGGGTGGGGTGATGGAAAGAGGGAGATTGAGGCAGGGTGATGGAAAGCGGGAAAATGGGGCGGGGTGATGGAAAGCGGGAGAATGGGGCAGGGTGATGGAAGGAAGGAGAATGGGGCGGGGTGATGGAAGGAGGGAGAATGGGGCGGGGTGATAGAAGGCGGGAGAATGGTGCGGGGTGATGGAAGGAGAGAAAATGAAGCGGGGTGATGGAAGGAGGGAGAATGGGGCGGGGTGATGGAAAGCGGGAGAATGGGGCGGGGTGATTGAAAGCGGGAGAATGGGGCGGGGTGATGGATTGCGGGAGAATGGGGCGGGGTGATGGAAAGCGGGAGAATGGGGCGGGTTATGGAAAGCTGGAGAATGGGGCGGGGTGATGGAAAGCGGTGGAATGGGGCGGGCTGATAGAAAGCGGGAAAATGGGGCGGGGTGATGGAAGGAGGGAGAATGGGGCGGGGTGATGGAAGGAGGGAGAATGGGGCAGGGCGATGGAAGGAGGGAGAATGGGGCGGGCTGATGGAAAGCTGGAGAATTTGGCTGGGTGATGGAAAGCGGGAGAATGCGGCGGGGTTATGGAAAGCGGGAGAATGGGGCGGGGTGATGGAAAGCGGGAGAATGAGGCGGGGTGATGGAAGGAGGGAGAATGGGGCGGGGTGATGGAAAGCGGGAGAATGGGGCGGGGTGATGGAAAGCGGGAGAATGGGCCGGGGTGATGGGAAGCGGGAGAATGGGGCAGGGTGATGGAAAGCGGGAGAATGGGGCGGGGTGATCGAAAGCGGGAGAACGGGGCGGGGTGATGGAAAGCGGGAGAATGGGGCGGGGTGATGGAAAGCGGGAGAATGGGGCGGGATGATGGAAGGAGGGAGATTGGGGCGGGGTGATGGAAGCAAGGAGAATGGGGCGAGGTGATGGAAAGCAGGAGAATGGGGCGGGGTGATGGAAAACGGGAAAATGGGGCGGGTGATGGAAAGCGGGAGAATGGGGCAGGGTGATTGAAAGCGGGAGAATGGTTCGGGGTGATGGAAGGAGGGAGAATGGGGCGGGGTTATGGAAGGTGGGAGGATGGTGTGGGGTGATGGAAAGCGGGAGAATGGGGAGGGGTGATGGAAAGCGGGAGAATGGGGCGGGGCGGTGGAAAGCGGGAGAATAGGGCGGGGTGATGGAAAACAGGAGAATGAAGCGAGGTGATGGAAAACGGGAAAATAGGGCAGGGTGATGGAAAGCGGGAGAATGGGGCAGGGTGATGGAAGGCAGGAGAATTGGGCGGGGTGACGGAAGGAGGGAGAATGGGGTGGGGTGATGGAAAGAGGGAGATTGAGGCAGGGTGATGGAAAGCGGGAAAATGGGGCGGGGTGATGGAAAGCGGGAGAATGGGGCAGGGTGATGGAAGGAAGGAGAATGGGGCGGGGTGATCGAAGGAGGGAGAATGGGGCGGGGTGATAGAAGGCGGGAGAATGGTGCGGGGTGATGGAAGGAGAGAAAATGAAGCGGGGTGATGGAAGGAGGGAGAATGGGGCGGGGTGATGGAAAGCGGGAGAATGGGGCGGGGTGATTGAAAGCGGGAGAATGGGGCGGGGTGATGGATTGCGGGAGAATGGGGCGGGGTCATGGAAAGCGGGAGAATGGGGCGGGGTGATGGAAGGAGGGAGAATGGGCGGGGTGATGGAAAGCAGGAGAATGGGGCGGGGTGATGGAAAGCGGGAGAATGGGGCGGGGTGATAGAAAGCGGGAGAATGGGGCGGGGTGATGGAAAGCCGGAGAATGAGGCGTGGTGATGGAAAGCGGGAGAATGGGGCAGGTTGATGGAAAGCGTGAGAATGGGGCGGGGTGATGGAAGGAGGGAGAATGGGGTGGGGTGATGGAAGGAGGGAGAATGGGGCGGGTGATGGAAGGAGGGAGAATGGGGCGGGGTGATGGAAAGTGGGAGACTATGGCGGGGCGATGGAAAGCAGGAGAATGGGGCGGGGTTATGGAAAGTGGGAGAATGGGGCAGGGCGATGGAAGGCAGGAGAATGGGGTGGGGTGATGGATGGAGGGAGAATGGGGTGGGGTGATGGAAAGAGGGAGATTGGGACGGGGTGATGGAAAGCAGGAGAATGGGGCGGGGTGATGAAAAGCGGGAGAATGGGGCGGGGTGATGGAAAGCGGGAGAATGGGGCGGGGTGATGGAAGGAGGGAGAATGGGGCGGGGTGATGGAAGGAGGGAGAATGGGGCGGGGTGATGGAAAGCGGGAGAATATGGCGGGGCGATGGAAAGCAGGAGAATGGGGCGGGGTTATGGAAAGTGGGAGAATGGGGCAGGGCGATGGAAGGCAGGAGAATGGGGCGGGGTGATGGAAGGAGGGAGAATGGGGTGGGGTGATGGAAAGAGGGAGAATGGGACGGGGTGATGGAAAGCAGGAGAATGGGGCGGGGTGATGGAAAGCGGGAGAATGGGGCGGGGTGATGGAAAGCGGGAGAATGGGGCGGGGTGATGGAAGGAGGGAGAATGGGGCGGGGTGATGGAAGGAGGGAGAATGGGGCGGGGTGATGGAAGGAGGGAGAATGGGGCGGGGCGATCGAAAGCGGGAGAATGGGGCGGGGTGATGGAAAGCGGGAGAATGGGGCGGGGTGATGGAAAGCGTGAGTATGGGGCGGGGAGATGGAAAGCGGGAGAATAGGCTGGGGTGATGGAAAGTGGGACAATGGGGCGGGGTGATGGAAAGCGGGAGAATGGGGCGGGGTGATGGAAAGCGAGAGAATGGGGTGGGGTGATAGAAAGCGGGAGAATGGGGTGGGGTGATGGAATTCAGGAGAATGGGGCGGGGTGATGGAAGGAGGAAGAGGTGATGGAAAGCGGGGGAATGGGGCGGGATGATGGGAAGCGGGAGAATGAGGCGGGGTGATGGAAGGAGGGAGAATGGGGCGGGGTGATGGAAAGCGGGAGAATGGGGCGGGGTGATGGAAAGCGGGAGAATGGGGCGGAGTGATGGAAAGCGGGAGAATGGGGCGGAGTGATGGAAAGCGGGAGAATGGGGCGAGGTGATGGAAAGTGGGAGAATGGGGCGGGGCGTTGGAAAGCGGGAGAATGGGGCGGGGTGATGAAAAGCGGGAGAATGGGGCGGGGTGATGGAAAGCGGGAGAATGGGGCGGGGTGATGGAAAGCGGGAGAATGGGGCGGGTGATGGAAAGCGGGTGAATGGGGCGGGGTGATGGAAAGCGGGAGAATGGGGCGGGGTGATGGAAAGCAGAAGAATGGGGCGGGGTGATGGAAAGCGGGAGAATGGGGCGGGGTGATGAAAAGCGGGAGAATGGGGCGGGGTGATGGAAAGCGGGAGAATGGGGCGGGGTGATGGAAAGCGGGAGAATGGGGCGGGGTGATGGAAGGAGGGAGAATGGGGCGGGGTGATGGAAAGCGGGGGATTGGGGAAGGGTGATGGAAAGCGGGAGAATGGGGCGGGGTGTGTTATAGTCACAGTAGGCTCCAATGTGCCTAAAACGAAAGATAGAGTGCACAGTCGGATTTCTGCACAGCGGCTTCAAACGTTCATAGCGTTTTGGTCACAGCTTCAAATGACTTGATTCAACTTGGATCTGGACCGTCTTATTGTCGCCTACAAAAGGCAATTTAGATCGCACGATTTGACCAAGTATTGACGACACAGGGCTGGTTTGAACGAACGGCACTATGGCAGCTACTATAGTCTTAGAACACAAGATAGGAAGAGTTAGGAAGAGTTACGAGTTGGGAATGACTCCCAGCTCCTACAAACCCCAAGAGCCGAGGTACAGTGATATGGAACAGTGACACACAGTCCCCAACCACGAAGGGTCTCGAAACTACCCTTCACTATGGCCTACAACAAGTGAAATGTTACACTACACAAAGTAATGTAACTATCTTCAATATCTTGAGGTGTACCCTTTTGGCGAGCTTTGAAATCACTTGTGGATTGACACCAAGGCTCGGCTCTTCATCACAAACTCATCCTTGAGTTCTTGATGGGTCTGCTGCACACACCTGCGACACACCAAACGTTCGACACAGGACAAAAGAGAAACCGCGCACGACAAAATAGAAACCGCGCGCGAGACACAAACGACCGCGTAACACGTGTCTAGCCATAACTCGCTATTGACTCGACACATACATTCGACATCATGACTCAACATTCACACACAATTATAAGCATTAAATATATATTATCCCATGCCCTCATACCATTTTATAGACACACACACATGCACGCACACGGACAACAAGCCGAGTGCAAACCATAGGGTTGCACCAACAACCCCGCCCCATTCTCCTGCTTTCCATCACCTCGCCCCATTCTCCCGCTTTCCATCACCCCGCCCCATTCTTCTGCTTTCCATCACCCCGCCCCATTCTCCCGCTTTCCATCACCCCGCCCCATTCACCCGCTTTCCATCACCCGCCCCATTCTCCCGCTTTCCTTCACCCCGCCCCATTCTCCCGCTTTCCATCACCCCGCCCCATTCTCCCGCTTTTCATCACCCCGCCCCATTCTCCCGCTTTCCAACACCCCGCCCCATTCTCCCGCTTTCCATCACCTCGCCCCATTCTCCCGCTTTCCATCACTCCGCCCCATTCTCCCGCTTTCCATCACTCCGCCCCATTCTCCCGCTTTCCATCACCCCGCCCCATTCTCCCGCTTTCCATCACCCCGCCCCATTCTCCCTCCTTCCATCACCCCGCCTCATTTTCCCGCTTCCCATCATCCCGCCCCATTCCCCCGCTTTCCATCACCTCTTCCTCCTTCCATCACCCCGCCCCATTCTCCTGAATTCCATCACCCCACCCCATTCTCCCGCTTTCTATCACCCCACCCCATTCTCTCGCTTTCCATCACCTTGCCCCATTCTCCCGCTTTCCATCACCCCGCCCCATTGTCCCACTTTCCATCACCCCAGCCTATTCTCCCGCTTTCCATCTCCCCGCCCCATACTCACGCTTTCCATCACCCCGCCCCATTCTCCCGCTTTCCATCACCCCGCCCCATTCTCCCGCTTTCGATCGCCCCGCCCCATTCTCCCTCCTTCCATCACCCCGCCCCATTCTCCCTCCTTCCATCACCCCGCCCCATTCTCCCTCCTTCCATCACCCCGCCCCATTCTCCCGCTTTCCATCACCCCGCCCCATTCTCCCGCTTTCCATCACCCCGCCCCATTCTCCTGCTTTCCATCACCCCACCCCAATCTCCCTCTTTCCATCACCCCACCCCATTCTCCCTCCTTCCATCACCCCGCCCCATTCTCCTGCCTTCCATCGCCCTGCCCCATTCCTTCCCCCGTTTTCCATCACCCCGCCCCATTGTCCTGCTTTCCATCACCCCGCCCCATTCTCCCGCTTTCCACCACCCCGCCCCATTCTCCCGCTTTCCATCACCCCGCCCCATTCTCCCGCTTTCCATCAACCAACCTCATCCTCCCACCTTCCATCACCCCGCCCCATTCTCCCTCCTTCCATCACCCCATACCATACCCGCTTTCCATCACCCCACCCCATTCTCCCCCTTTCCATCACCCCACCCCATTCTCCCGCTTTCCATCACCCCGCCCCATTCTCCCGCTTTCCATCACCCCGCCCCATTCTCCCGCTTTCCATTACCCCTCCCCATTTTCCCTCTTTCCATCACCCCACCCCATTCTCCCGCTTTCCATCACCCCGCCCCATTCTCCCGCTTTGTATCACCCCGCCCCATTCTCCCTCCTTCCATCACCCCGCCCCAATCCCCTCCTTCCATCACCCGGCCCTATTCTCCTTCCTTCAATCGCCCCGCCCCATTCTCCCGCTTTCCATCACCCCGCCCCATTTTCCCATTTTCCATTACCCCGCCCCATTCTCCCGCTTTCCATCACCTCGCCCCATTCTCCTTGCTTCCATCACCCCGCCCCATTCTCCCGCTTTCCATCACCCCGGCCCATTCTCCCTCCTTCCATCACCCCGCCCCAATCCCCTCCTTCCATCACCCGCCCCATTCTCCCTCTTTCCATCAGCCCGCCCCATTCTCCTGCTTTCCATCACCCCGCCCCATTCTCCAGCTTTCCATCACCCCGCTCCATTCTCCCTCTTTCCATCACCCCGCCCCTTTCTCCCTCTTTTCATCACCCCGCTCTATTCTCCCGCTTTCCATCACCCCGCCCAATTCTCCCTCTGTCCATCACCCCTCCCCATTCTACCTCTTTCCATCACCCCGCCCCCCACTCTCCCTCTTTCCATCACCCCGCCCCATTCTCCCGCTTTCCATCACCCCGCCCCATTCTCCCTCTTTCCATCACCCCGCCCCATTCTTCCGCTTTCCATTACCCCGCCCCATTTTCCCTTTCCATCAGCCCGCCCCATTCTCCTGCTTTCCATCACCCCGCCCCATTCTCCAGCTTTCCATCACCCCGCTCCATTCTCCCGCTTTCAATCACCCAGCCCAATTCTCCCTCTTTCCATCAACCCCCCCCCCCATTCGCCCGCTTTCCATCACCCCGCCCCATTCTCCCGCTTTCCATCACCCCGCCCCATTCTCCCTCTTTCCATCACCCCGCCCCTTTCTCCCTCTTTTCATCACCCCGCCCCATTCTCCCGCTTTCCATCACCCCGCCCCATTCTCCCTCTTTCCATCACCCCGCCCCATTCTCCCGCTTTCCATGACCCCGCCCCATTCTCCCTCTTTCCATCACCCCGCCCCATTCTCCCTCTTTCCATCACCCCGCACCATTCTCCCTCTTTCCATCACCCCGCCCCATTCTCCCTCTTTCCATCACCCCGCCCCATTCTCCCTCTTTCCATCACCCCGCCCCATTCTCCCGCCTTCCATCACCCAGCCCCATTCTCCCTCTTTACATCACCCCGCCCCATTCTCCCGCTTTCTATCACCCAGCCCCATTCTCCCACTTTCCATCACCCCGCCCCATTCTCCCTCTTTCCATCACCCCGCCCCATTCTTCCGCTTTCCATCACCCCGCCCCATTTTCTCTCTTTCCATCACCCCGCCCCATTCTCCCGCTTTCCATCACCCCGCCCCATTCTCCCTTTTTCTATCACCCCTCCCCATTCTCCCGCTTTCCATCACCCCGCCCAATTCTCCCTCTTTCTATCACCCCTCCCCATTCTCCCGCTTTCCATCCCCCCGCCCCATTCTCCCGCTTTCCATCACCCCGCCCCATTCTCCCTCTTTCCCTCACCCCGCCCCATTCTCCCGCTTTCCATTACCCTGCCCCATTCTCCCGCTATCCATCACCCCGCCCCATTCTCCCGCTTTCCATCACCCCGCCCTATTCTCCCGCTTTCCATCACCCCGCCCCATTCTCCCGCTTTCCATCAACCCGCCCCATTCTCCCTCTTTCTATCACCCCTCCCCATTCTCCCGCTTTCCATCACCCCGCCCAATTCTCCCTCTTTCCATCACCCCTCCCCATTCTCCCTCTTTCTATCACCCCTCCCCCTTCTCCCGCTTTCCATCACCCCGCCCAATTCTCCCTCTTTCTATCACCCCTCCCCATTCTCCCTCTTTCTATCACCCCGCCCCATTCTCCCGCTTTCCATCACCCCGCCCCATTTTCCCTCTTTCCATCACCCCGCCCCATTCTCCCTCTTTCCATCACCTTGCCACATTCTCCCGCTTTCCATCACCCCTCCCCATTTTCCCTCTTTCCATCACCCCGCCCCATTCTCCCGCTTTCCATCACCCCGCCCCATTCTCCCTCATTCTATCACCCCTCCCCCTTCTCCCGCTTTCCATCATCCCGCCCAATTCTCCCTCTTTCTATCACCCCTCCCCATTCTCCCTCTTTCTATCACCCCGCCCCATTCTCCCGCTTTCCATCACCCCGCCCCATTTTCCCTCTTTCCATCACCCCGCCCCATTCTCCCTCTTTCCATCACCCCGCCACATTCTCCCGCTTTCCATCACCCCTCCCCATTTTCCCTCTTTCCATCACCCCGCCCCATTCTCCCGCTTTCCATCACCCCGCCCCATTGTCCCTCTTTCTATCACCCCTCCCCCTTCTCCCGCTTTCCATCACCCCGCCCAATTCCCCTCTTTCTATCACCCCTCCCCATTCTCCCTCTTTCTATCACCCCGCCCCATTCTCCCGCTTTCCATCACCCCGCACCATTTTCCCTCTTTCCATCACCCCGCCCCATTCTCCCTCTTTCCATCACCCGGCCACATTCTCCCGCTTTCCATCACCCCTCCCCATTTTCCCTCTTTCCATCACCCCGCCCCATTCTCCCGCTTTCCATCACCCCGCCCCATTCTCCCTCTTTCTATCACCCCTCCCCCTTCTCCCGCTTTCCATCACCCCGCCCAATTCTTCCTCTTTCTATCACCCCTCCCCATTCTCCCTCTTTCTATCACCCCGCCCCATTCTCCCGCTTTCCATCACCCCGCCCCATTTTCCCTCTTTCCATCACCCCGCCCCATTCTCCCTCTTTCCATCACCCCGCCACATTCTCCCGCTTTCCATCACCCCTCCCCATTCTCCCTCTTTCTGTCACCCCGCCCCATTCTCCCGCTTTCCATCACCCCGCTCCATTCACCCTCTTTCCGTCACCCCGCCCCATTCTCCCGCTTTCCATCACCCCGCCCAATACTCCCTCTTTCCATCACCCTGCCCCATTCTCCCGCTTTCCATCACCCCGCTCCTTTCTCCCGCTTTCCATCACCCCGCCCAATTCTCCCTCTTTCCATCACCCCTCCCCATTCTCCCTCTTTCTATCACCCCGCCCAATTCTCCCTCTTTCCATCACCCCGCCCCATTCTCCCTCTTTCCATCACCCCGCCCCATTCTCCCTCTTTCCATCACCCCGCCCCATTCTCCCACTTTCCATCACCCCGCCCCATTTTCCCTTTTTCCATCCCCCCGCCCCATTCTCCCGCTTTCCATCACCCCGCCCCATTCTCCCTCTTTCCATCACCCCGCCCCATTCTCCCGCTTTCCTTTACCCCGCCCCATTCTCCCGCTTTCCATCACCCCGCCCCATTCTCCCGCTTTCCATCACCCCGCCCCATTTTCCCTCTTTCCATCACCCCGCCCCATTCTCCCGCTTTCCATCACCCCGCCCCATTATCCCTCTTTCTATCACCCCTCCCCATTCTCCCGCTTTCCATCACCCCACCCAATTCTCCCTCTTTCTATCACCCCTCCCCATTCTCCCTTTAACCATCACCCCGCCGCATTCTCCCGCTTTCCATCACCCCGCCCCATTCTCCCTCTTTCCATCACCCCGCCCAATTCTCCCGCTTTCCATGACCCCGCCCCATTCTCCCGCTTTCCATCACCCCGCCCCATTCTCCCGCTTCCCATCACCCCGCCCCATTTTCCCTCTTTCCATCACCCCGCCCCATTCTCCCGCTTTCCATCACCCCGCCCCATTCTCCCTCTTTCTATCACCCCTCCCCATTCTCCCGCTTTCCATCACCCCGCCCAATTCTCCCTCTTTCTATCACCCCTCCCCATTCTCCCTCTTTCTATCACCCCGCCCCATTCTCCCGCATTCCATCACCCCGCCCCATTTTCCCTCTTTCCATCACCCCGCCCCATTCTCCCACTTTCCATCACCCCGCCACATTCTCCCGCTTTCCATCAACCCGCCCCATTCTCCCGCTTTCCATCACCCCGCCCCATTCTCCCGCTTCCCATCACCCCGCCCCATTTTCCCTCTTTCCATCACCCCGCCGCATTCTCCCGCTTTCCATCACCCCGCCCCATTCTCCCTCTTTCCATCACCCCGCCCAATTCTCCCGCTTTCCATGACCCCGCCCCATTCTCCCGCTTTCCATCACCCCGCCCCATTCTCCCGCTTCCCATCACCCCGCCCCATTTTCCATCTTTCCATCACCCCGCCCCATTCTCTCGCTTTCCATCACCCCGCCCCATTCTCCCTCTTTCTATCACCCCTCCCCGTTCTCCCGCTTTCCATCACCCCGCCCAATTCTCCCTCTTTCTATCACCCCTCCCCATTCTCCCTCTTTCTATCACCCCGCCCCATTCTCCCGCATTCCATCACCCCGCCCCATTTTCCCTCTTTCCATCACCCCGCCCCATTCTCCCACTTTCCATCACCCCGCCACATTCTCCCGCTTTCCATCACCCCGCCCCATTCTCCCGCTTTCCATCACCCCGCCCCATTATCCCTCTTTCTATCACCCCTCCCCATTCTCCCGCTTTCCATCACCCCACCCAATTCTCCCTCTTTCTATCATCCCTCCCCATTCTCCCTTTAACCATCACCCCGCCGCATTCTCCCGCTTTCCATCACCCCGCCCCATTCTCCCTCTTTCCATCACCCCGCCCAATTCTCCCGCTTTCCATGACCCCGCCCCATTCTCCCGCTTTCCATCACCCCGCCCCATTCTCCCGCTTCCCATCACCCCGCCCCATTTTCCCTCTTTCCATCACCCCGCCCCATTCTCCCGCTTTCCATCACCCCGCCCCATTCTCCCTCTTTCTATCACCCCTCCCCATTCTCCCGCTTTCCATCACCCCGCCCAATTCTCCCTCTTTCTATCACCCCTCCCCATTCTCCCTCTTTCTATCACCCCGCCCCATTCTCCCGCATTCCATCACCCCGCCCCATTTTCCCTCTTTCCATCACCCCGCCCCATTCTCCCACTTTCCATCACCCCGCCACATTCTCCCGCTTTCCATCACCCCTCCCCATTCTCCCTCTTCCCATCACCCCGCCCCATTCTCCCACTTTTCGTCACCCCGCCCCATTCTCCCGCTTTTCATCATTCCGCTCCATTCTCCCTCTGCCGTCACCCCGCCCCATTCTCCCGCTTTCCATCACCCCGCCCCATTCTCCCTCTTTCCATCACCCCGCCCCATTCTCCCGCTTTCCATAACCCCGCCCCATTCTCCCGCTTTCCATCACCCCGCTCTATTCTCCCGCTTTCCATCACCCCACCCAATTCTCCCTCTTTCCATCACCCCTCCCCACTCTACCTCTTTCCATCACCCCGCCCCCCACTCTCCCTCTTTCCATCACCCGCCCCATTCTCCCGCTTTCCATCACCCCGCCCCATTCTCCCTCTTTCCATCACCCCGCCCCATTCTCCCGCTTTCCATTACCCCGCCCCATTTTCCCTCTTTCCATCACCCCGCCCCATTCTCCTGCTTTCCATCACCCCGCCCCATTCTCCCGCTTTCCATCACCCCGCTCCATTCTCCCGCTTTCAATCACCCAGCTCAATTCTCCGTCTTTCCATCAACCCCCCCCCCCCATTCTCCCGCTTTCCATCACCCCGTCCCATTCTCCCTCTTTCCATCACCCCGCCCCATTCTCCCGCTTTCCATCACCCCGCCCCATTCTCCCTCTTTCCATCACCCCGCCCCATTCTCCCCCTTTCCATCACCCCGCCCCAGTCTCCCGCTCTCAATCACCCCGCCCCATTCTCCCGTTTTCCATCACCCCTCCCCATTCTCCCTCTCTCCATCACCCCGCCCCGTTCTCCCTCTTTCCATCACCCCGCCCAATTTTCCCGCTTTCCATGACCCCGCCCCATTCTCCCGCTTTCCATCACCCCGCCCCATTCTCCTGCTTCCCATCACCCCGTCCCATTTTCCCTCTTTCCATCACCCCGCCCCATTCTCCCGTTTTCCATCACCCCGCCCCATTCTCCCTCTTTCTATCACCCCTCCCCATTCTCCCGCTTTCCATCACCCCGCCCAATTCTCCCTCTTTCTATCACCCCTCCCCATTCTCCCTCTTTCTATCACCCCGCCCCATTCTCCCGCATTCCATCACCCCGCCCCATTTTCCCTCTTTCCATCACCCCGCCCCATTCTCCCACTTTCCATCACCCCGCCACATTCTCCCGCTTTCCATCACCCCTCTCCATTCTCCCTCTTCCCATCACCCCGCCCCATTCTCCCACTTTTCGTCACCCCGCCCCATTCTCCCGCTTTTCATCATTCCGCTCCATTCTCCCTCTGCCGTCACCCCGCCCCATTCTCCCGCTTTCCATCACCCCGCCCCATTCTCCCTCTTTCCATCACCCCGCCCCATTCTCCCGCTTTCCATCACCCCGCTCTATTCTCCCGCTTTCAATCACCCCACCCAATTCTCCCTCTTTCCATCACCCCTCCCCATTCTACCTCTTTCCATCACCCCGCCCCCCACTCTCCCTCTTTCCATCACCCGCCCCATTCTCCCGCTTTCCATCACCCCGCCCCATTCTCCCTCTTTCCATCACCCCGCCCCATTCTCCCGCTTTCCATTACCCCGCCCCATTTTCCCTCTTTCCATCACCCCGCCCCATTCTCCTGCTTTCCATCACCCCGCCCCATTCTCCAGCTTTCCATCACCCCGCTTCATTCTCCCGCTTTCAATCACCCAGCTCAATTCTCCGTCTTTCCATCAACCCCCCCCCCCCCCCCCCCCCATTCTCCCGCTTTCCATCACCCCGTCCCATTCTCCCTCTTTCCATCACCCCGCCCCATTCTCCCGCTTTCCATCACCCCGCCCCATTCTCCCTCTTTCCATCACCCCGCCCCATTCTCCCCCTTTCCATCACCCCGCCCCAGTCTCCCGCTCTCAATCACCCCGCCCCATTCTCCCGTTTTCCATCACCCCTCCCCATTCTCCCTCTCTCCATCACCCCGCCCCGTTCTCCCTCTTTCCATCACCCCGCCCTGTTCTCCCGCTTTCAATCACCCCGCCCCATTCTCCCGCTTTGCATCACCCCGCCCCATTCTCCCTCTTTCCATCACCCCGCCCCATTCTCCCTCTATCCATCACCCCGCCCCATTCTCCCGCTTTCCATCACCCTGTCCCATTCTCCCGCTTTCCATCACCCCGCCCCATTTTCTTGCTTTCCATCACCCCGCCCCATTCTCCCTCTTTCCATCACCCCGCCCCATTCTCCGGCTTTCTATCACCCCGCCCCATTCTCCCGCTTTCCATCACCCCGCCCCATTCTCCCTCTTTCCATCACCCCGCCCCATTTTCCCTCTTTCCATCACCCCGCCCCATTCTCCCGCTTTCCATCACCCCGCCCCATTCTCCCTCTTTCCATCACCCCGCCCCATTCTCCCGCTTTCAATCACCTCGCCCAATTCTCCCTTTTTCTATCACCCCTCCCCATTCTCCCTCTTTCTATCACCCCGCCCCATTCTCCCGCTTTCCATCACCCCGCCCCATTTTCCCTCTTTCCATCACCCCGCCCCATTCTCCCTCTTTCCATCACCCCGCCACATTCTCCCGCTTTCCATCACCCCTCCCCATTCTCCCTCTTTCCATCACCCCGCCCCATTCTCCCACTTTCCGTCACCCCGCCCCATTCTCCCGCTTTCCATCACCCCGCTCCATTCTCCCTCTTTCCGTCACCCCGCCCCATTCTCCCGCTTTCCATCACCCCGTCCCATACTCCCTCTTTCCATCACCCCGCCCCATTCTCCCGCTTTCCATCACCCCGCTCCTTTCTCCCGCTTTCCATCACCCCGCCCAATTCTCCCTCTTTCCATCATCCCTCCCAATTCTCCCTCTTTCCATCACCCCGCCCAATTCTCCCTCTTTCCATCACCCCGCCCCATTCTCCCTCTTTCCATCACCCCGCCCCATTCTCCCTCTTTCCATCACCCCGCCCCATTCTCCCGCTTTCTATCACCCCGCCCCATTTTCCCTCTTTCCATCACCCCGCCCCATTCTCCCGCTTTCCATCACCCCGCCCCATTCTCCCTCTTTCCATCACCCCGCCACATTCTCCCGCTTTCCATCACCCCTCCCCATTCTCCCTCTTTCCATCACCCCGCCCCATTCTCCCACTTTCCGTCACCCCGCCCCATTCTCCCGCTTTCCATCACCCCGCTCTATTCTCCCTCTTTCCGTCACCCCGCCCCATTCTCCCGCTTTCCATCACCCCGTCCCATACTCCCTCTTTCCATCACCCCGCCCCATTCTCCCGCTTTCCATCACCCCGCTCCTTTCTCCCGCTTTCCATCACCCCGCCCAATTCTCCCTCTTTCCATCATCCCTCCCAATTCTCCCTCTTTCCATCACCCCGCCCAATTCTCCCTCTTTCCATCACCCCGCCCCATTCTCCCTCTTTCCATCACCCCGCCCCATTCTCCCTCTTTCCATCACCCCGCCCCATTCTCCCGCTTTCTATCACCCCGCCCCATTTTCCCTCTTTCCATCACCCCGCCCCATTCTCCCGCTTTCCATCACCCCGCCCCATTCTCCCTCTTTCTATCACCCCTCCCCATTCTCCCTCTTTCCATCACCCCGCTCCATTCTCCCTCTTTCTATCACCCCTCCCTATTTTCCCCTTTTCCATCCCCCCGCCCCATTCTCCCGCTTTCCATCACCCCGCCCCATTCTCCCTCTTTCCATCACCCCGCCCCATTCTCCCGCTTTCCTCTTAACCCGCCCCATTCTCCCGCTTTCCATCACCCCGCCCCATTCTCCCGCTTTCCATCACCCCGCCCCATTTTCCCTCTTTCCATCACCCCGCCCCACTCTCCCGCTTTCCACCACCCCGCCCCATTCTCCCTCTTTCCATCACCCTGCCCCATTCTCCCTCTTTCTATCACCCCGCCCAATTCTCCCGCTTTCCATCACCCCGCCCCATTCTCCCACTTTCCATGACCCCGCCCCATTCTCCCGCTTTCCATCACCCCGCTCCATTCTCCCGCTTTCCATCACCCCGCCCAATTCTCCCTTTTTCCATCACCCCTCCCCATTCTCCCTCTTTCCATCACCCCGCCCAGTTCTACCTCTTTCCATCACCCACCCCATTCTCCCGCTTGCCATCACCACGCCCCATTCTCCCGCTTTCCATCACCCCGCCCCACTCTCCCTCTCTCCATCACCCCGCCCCATTCTCCCGCTTTCCATCACCCCGCCCCATTCTCCCGCTTTCAATCACCCCTCCCCATTCTTCCGCTTTCTATCACCCCGCCCCATTCTCCCTGTTTCCATCAGCCCGCCCCATTCTCCCTCTTTCCATCACCCCGCCCCATTCTCCCGCTTTCCATTACCCTGCCCCATTCTCCCGCTTTTTCATCACCCCGCCCCATTCTCCCTCCTTCCATAACCCCGCCCTATTCTCCCTCTTTCCATCACCGCGCCCCATTCTCCCTCTTTCCATCACCCCACCCCATTCTCCCGCTTTCCATCACCCCGCCCATTCTCCTGCTTTCCATCACCCCGCCTCATTCTCCCGCTTTCCATCACCCCGCCCCATTCTTCCGCTTTCCTTCACCCCGCCCCATACTCCCGCTTTCCATCACCCCGCCCTATTCTCCCTCTTTCCATCACCCCGCCCCATTCTCCCGCTTTCCGTCACCCCGCCCCATTCTCCCGCTTTCCATCACCCCGCCCCATTCTCCTGCTTTCCACCACCCTGCCCCATTCTCCCGCTTTCCATCACCCCGCCCCATTCTCCCACTTTCCATCACCCTGCCCCATTCTCCCGCTTTCCATCACCCCGCCATATTCTTCCTCTTTCCATCACCCCGCCCCATTCTCCCGCTTTCCATCACGCCGCCCCATTCTCCTGCTTTCCATCACCCCGCCCCATTCTCCCGCTTTCCATCACCCCGCCCCATTCTCCCGCTTTCCATCACCCCGCCCCATTCTCCCGCTTTCCATCACCCTGCCCCATTCTCCCTCTTTCCATCACCCCGCCCCATTCTCCCTCATTCCATCACCCCACCCTATTCTCCCTCTTTCCATCACCCCACCCCACTCTCCCGCTTTCCATCACCCCACCCCTTTCTCCCGCGTTCCATCACCCCGCCCCATTCTCCCGCTTTCCGTCACCCCGCCCCATTCTCCCGCTTTCCATCACCCCGCCCCATTCTCCCGCTTTCCATCACCCCGGCCCATTCCCCCGCTTTCCATCACCCTGCCCCATTCTCCCGCTTTCCATCACCCCGCCTCATTCTCCCGCTTTCCATCACCCCTCCCCATTCTCCCGCTTTCCATCACCCCGCCCCATTCTCAAGCTTTCCATCACCCCGCCCCATTCTCCTGCTTTCCATCACCCCACCCCATTCTCCCGCTTTTCATCACCCCGCCCCATTCTCCTGCTTTCCATCACCCCGCCCCATTCTCCTTCTTTCCATCACCCCGCCCTATTCTCCCGCTTTCCATCACCCCGCCCCATTCTCCCGCTTTCCATCACCCCGTCCTATTCTCCCTCTTTTCATCATCCCGCCCCATTCTCCCTCTTTCCACCAACCCGCCCCATTCTCCCGCTTTCCATCACCCCGGCCCATTCTCCCTATTTCCATCACCCCGCTCCATTCTCCCACTTTCCATCACCCCGCCCCATTCTCCCGCTTTCCGTCACCCCGCCCCATTCTCCCGCTTTCCATCACCCCGCCCCATTCTCCCTCTTTCCATCACCCCGCCCCAGTCTCCCTCTTTCCATCACCCCGCCCCATTCTCCCTCTTTCCATCACCCCGCCCCATTCTCCCTCTTTCCATCACCCCGCCCGATCCTCCCTATTTCCATCACCCCGCCCCATTCTTCCGCTTTCCATCACCCCGCCCCATTCTCCAGCTTACCATCACCCCGCCCCATTCTCCCGCTTTCCATCACCCCGCCCCATTCTCCAGCTTTCCATCACCCCGCCCCATTCTCCCGCTTTCCATCACCCCGCCCCATTCTCCCGCTTTCCATCACCCCACCCCATTCTCCCGCTTTCCATCACCCCGCCCCATTCTCCCGCTTTCCATCACCCCTCCCCATTCTCCCGCTTTCCATCACCCCGCCCCATTCTCCCGCTTTCCATCACCCCGCCCCATTCTTCCGCTTTCCATCACCCCGCCCCATTCACCCCGCCCCATTCTCCCTCTTTCCATCAACCCGGCCCATTCTCTCGCTTTTCTTCACCCCGCCCCATTCTCACTCTTTCCATCACCCCGCCCCATTCTTCCGCTTTTCATCACCCTGCCCCATTCTCCCTCTTTCCATCACCCCGCCCCATTCCCCCTCTTTCCATCAGCCCGCCCCATTCTCCCGCTTTTCTCCACCCCTGTTAGAGACTAAGGATCGAGTCTATGAAGATTAGGTGCTCAAATTTATCGAAATCGTTGGTCTCAATTTCTGGACAGAAACGTCGACTTCACAAGAAACGTCGTCGACGGAAGGTGCACTGTTAGAATCCCACGAAATTCGAATATGTTGTAGCCCTAGGCGGTGGCTACATTTACCAATTCGAATCGTATCAAAATATGATGCATATCTCGAGTTATGCGTTTCGGCGCACTAGGGGGTATGCTGCCACAGAAATTTAACTCAATCACAATTAACTCACAAGTTCCACAAAAGTGCACACAAGAGAGTTAGGGTAGCACTAAACCAGGTAGGAGGGAAGAGGAGGACGAGAGGGAAGGTCCCAAGAGATTCCCCAACCAAGGAAACCCCATGCCACACAATTCCCTTCCCCATAGGCAACCCCACTTTCACATTTGTCACTTTCCCAACTCATGCCATCCACCTCAACCCACTTGGCCACACTTGCCAACCTGGTTTGGCTTCACCCAACCACATGGCAGCATTCTACAGTGATGGGTTCGAATTCCCAACCCCCAAAAGTCTGTACCCCATATTGAGTCAACCCTACAACTTCCCATAGTCGCCACAACCGAAGTACATAAAGCATACGAACCCCAACGTTCGTAACTTTCTTGATATTGCTCCGATCGCGACGATTCTTGGCTCGTCGGAAAGATCTTGAGTAGAGCTGTCACTTCAGATATCTGCCCAAGCCAAATATCATCCACACACACTCAAAAATTCCAAACCGCGCAAAACACAAATTCTTGCACACGTTCACACCACGCTTGCAACACACGAACACTTGATGGAGGCAGACAGACGTGAATGCATATGTTTGCATCACAACAAACTCCCCCTCTGGCTGCCAACCATTATCCCACATGCCTCAGCTCATGCATGCATCCTCAATGCACACTCATCCCAGCAAGTTTCATGCCCTTCCAATGCTCAGGTTCTGCCAGGCGCTTGGTGAGAATGTCAGCCGCCTGTTGCTGGGTTTTCACAAGTTCCAGTCAAACCTCCTTATCCAGGAGCCTCCTCGTCCAATGCCACTTAGGCCTGATGTGCTTTCTCAGGCCATGAAGACAGGCATTCTTCGCAAGCTTCACAGTTGACTCATTGTCACAGAAAATCACAGTCAGCTCCTTTTGACCAACCCAAATCTTCTCTAGCAAACGCCTTAGCTACACCACCTCCTTTGCCCCATGATGAAGGGCCATGTACTCCGTCTCACACGAGGACAGCCCCACCTCGTTCTGCTTCTTGCTGCGCCAGCTCACTGCACCACCTCCAAAGAGGCACACATAGCCTCCAATGCTGGTGCCATCCGATTTCACAGAGTTGAAGCTAGCGTCGGTGTAGCACGTTAGGCGCATCTCCCCCTTGCTCAAGTCAGCTGCACCCCTCTGCAGCCTCTGTCGCACGGCACTGTACTCCAATCCCACTGATGCCGTTGCACTCACGTAGCGGACCAACCTCTTGGCCGCTTCCAGCTGCTCATGACTGGGGCGTGAAACCACACTTGCAAGCCTGGATGTAGCAAAGGCAATGTCAGGCCGCGTGTGGTTAGCCGAATAGTTGAGTGCCCCCACCATGGAGTGAAACAGCTTCCTGTCACTCTCTCCCACCACCTCCTCATCAGCACAGGGCTCTACGGTGAACCCTGAAGGCAGTGGGGTGGCTGGCTTCCCTCCATCTCGCAGCCCATACTTCTCGGCCAGCCCCTCACAATACTTCCTCTGGTGCAACCTCAACACTCCCTTGTCAAGGTCCCTCTCCACATGCATCCCCAGGTAGTACTTCACGTCTCCCATCTTGGAGCACTTGAACTGCATTTCCAGCATCTCCTCCACACGCTCAATCATTGCAGACGACTCAGAGAAGAGCAGTATGTCGTCCACATACACCAGGAGCATGAGAAACTGCTCCTTCTCTTGCAGCAGGAACAAGCTGTGATCGCACTCACTCTTCTTGAACCCCCCAGCCAGCAGTGTCTCCTCCAGTTTGTGGTACCATGCACGAGGAGCCTGCTTCAGGCCATAGATGGCCTTCTTCAGCCTGCACACCCTGCCGCTCCCATCATCCAACCCCTCAGGCTGCAGCATGTACAGCTCCTCCAGAATGACTCCATTGAGGAAGGCGGTGGTAATGTCCAGCTGCTTTACCCGCCATCCACGGTATGCGGCCATCGCCAAAGACACTCTCAGTGTTGTGCCTTTTCCCACAAGAGCATAGAGCTCATCAAAATCCTTCCCCTTCGTCTGCTGGAACCCCTTAGCGACAAGCCTTGACTTGTAGCGCGTCAGCTCCCCATCAGGTCCATACTTGTGCCTGAAGATCAGCTTCGAAGAGATTGCCTTCTTCCCAGGAGGCAGCTCACACAGCTCCCACGTCTCATTCTCCAGCAGAGAGTCATACTCCTCCTTCACACTCTGCTTCCACTTCTCAGCATCGGGCCCACTCAAGGCCTTGGTAAGTGTCTTGGGCTCAGGGACGGCTGCCCAGTAACAGTGCGCTATCTCCTCCTCATCACACTGCTCAGCCACACTTCCAGCATGCTCCACATTTCGTGAGCCAGTGCGATTATAGCTCAGCCTAATAGGTTGGCGTATATCCCTCCTAGGACGCTCAGCCGTACGTGCGGCACCTCGTGGAGCATCTTGCTGCTGCTGCTGCGGCTGCTGCTGCTGCGGCTGCTGTTGCTGCTGCTGCTGCTGCTGCTGCTGCTGCTCCACCACCTCAGGTTCTCCCCCATCCTCAGTCACCCCAGAGATCTCCTCCTCTGAGATGGCAACCTCCACTTGCCTCGAAGGCCGCTGCATCTCATCGGCCTCAACGATCAGCGGTGTCGTAGGAAGCTTCTGCTGCTGCTGCTTCCACTCCTTGTAGTACAAGGACTCCAGGAACTTCACGTCCCTTGACACAGTCAGCTGCTGGCTGGTCAAGTCCCATATGAGCCAGCCCTTGTGGTCCTTCGCAAGTCCCAAGTGCACACCCCATCTTCCAGAAGCTTCCAACTTTCCCCTCTTCTCCTTCGGCACATGAAACACCACCATGCAGCCGTAGGCTCTCAGCATGTTGACTGCTGGTGCACTCCCATACCACTTGGTTTAAGGCACCCACTGCTTGTCCCCCACAGTTGCGAGCACCCGGTTCTTCACAACAACGACCTGCCGCAGTGCAGTCATCCAAAACGGATCCGGCAGCCCTGCACGCCCAAGGAGAGTGCGAGCACCTTCCTGCAGGGTCCGGTTGAACCGCTCAGCCACGCCGTTCTGCTGAGGGTTGTAGGGCACCGTGAGCTGATGCTGGATCCCCTTCTTCTTCAGCACCGCCTCAAAAACAGCGCCAATGAACTCTCCCCCATTGTCGGTGCGGATCACCTTCACTTTGTGTCCGCTCTCCCTTTGTGCTCTCGGCATCCACTCCTTGAGAACAGCCGCTGCCACCTCCCCCTTAGTCTTGAGAGGGTAGACCCACACCGCACGTGTGTGGTCATCCACAATGGTCAGGAAATAGCGGCTGCCCGAGAGAGAAGGGGCCCTCGTGGGGCCCACCACGTCCATGTGCACAAGTGCAAGTGGAGCCTTCGCTGGTCCCGTGCTGCTGCTGAAGGGAAACTTCGTGAACTTGGTCTCAAGGCATGTAGGGCAGCTCCCAATCTCCCTTGCTGCCCCCTTCACCTCCAATCCCTTCAGGTTCCCATCCTTCACCAATTTCTGCAGCATCGGAATGTTGATGTGGCACAACCTCTCGTGCCACGTCTCCCAATCAGCCTCACCACTCCCAGATGAAGCCTTTGCCCATGCAGCCGTTGCATCCACACCAGCAAGCACCTCACCATGTGATTGCTGTGGCTGCTGCACCTTCTTGACTGCATCCAGGGCCCCAGCAGTTGGTGCAGTCTCCTCTCCTCCCGCAGTTGCCTTAGCCGCTGCCGCTGCCTTTGCCGTTGCTGGAGGTTTTCCATTCCAAGGGATGATGGGCAGCTGCCACAGGTCCTTGATGCAGCTGCTCTTCTCCTCCAAATCCCACAGCAGCAACTTCCCAAGCTTTGCACGGCAGCTGGTTGGGCCGAACGTGACTTTGGCCTTGCTTTTCTGCAGCCGGCGCACAGAGAGGAGGTTAGCGGATAAACCATCCACCAATAGAACATTCCCAAGTCCAACAAGTCCCCCATTGGCTCCCATCACCTTGGCATTCCCAACACCAATCACAGGGAGCAAAGCACCTGACGCGGCAGCCACAAACTTGATCTTCCCAGGGGGTTTCACCTCATCGAGCAAATCTGCCCGCGGAGTCATGTGACTCGTGCAACCAGAATCGATCACCCAGTGAGTTAGGGGGTGCACTACAACCTTCCCAACCGAACCCACATCATCCTCACTCCCTTTCACTTCCTCAACCATGAGGAACAGCCCAGGGTCAGCTTTACCTTGTGCACCATCACCTTGTGCACCTGAACCTTGCACAGCACCACCTCGTGCGCGTTCACCACTTGGCGGCTTCATGCCTGGAGGTGCCCATCCCTCAGGCCGGCTGAAACACTTGAACCACGGGTGTCCAGCCTTCTTGCAGTACCAGCACGCACCCTCCATTCGGGTGCTCCCCCTGCCACCAGAGCTCCCATGCCCCTCATTGTAGTCACCTCGGCCTCTCCCTCTGCCAAAGCCTCACCCACGGCCTCGGCCTCTCCCTCCCCCTCTCCCTCTGCTGCCTCCTGCAGCTCCATACCCCTCAGCTGTTTTGTTGGCAGCACCACCTCCAGTGTGGCGCCTGCGGAAGTCCTCCTGCAGGATCTGCTGCCGTAGCCACTCAGGCGTCCATTTGTCCTGCTGAACGTTGAGGGTGGGGATGAGGTTGTCCCACGAGTTGTCGAGCACCGAGATGATCTTGGTGCACTGTTGCATCTGCGACACTTCGCTGCCCGCCGCTGCCATCCTCGCATAGGTGTCCTTGATCTTGTCAAGGACCGGCTTCACATCATCTCCCGGCCGCATGGAGAGGGCAGCCAACTCCTTCTCCAATACGATCACCATCGGCAGCGTGTTGGGTTGAACCACGTCGCGAAGCAGCTTCCACGCCTTCGGTCCCGAGTCATCGAGCTCCACCAGGTCCTTGATATGCTGGAACATATCATTGTTGACCGATTGAAGGATTAGGTCGTACAGCACCGCGCTCCTCTCAATCCATTTGTCGCGGGCATCACCTTCCTCCGGCATCTTCTCTTCTCCCATCGCAAGTTTTAGCAGCTTGTAGCGCTTGAAAGCGCTCCGCATCCGCCCGCTCCATTCCTCATAGTTGGAGCCGTCCAAAGCCTCGATCTTGGACGGTGGCGGTTCACTCTTCTTCTCAGCTCCTTCTCCACTCATCTCCTCTGCTCCCAATCAGAGGTTTCAGCTCCCCCTTTGCTGTCCACACCGAAGTCTCACACAATTTTCCATAGGTGTCGGCGCCAACGAAATTTCGGCAGAGTTTCCCCTTAACGGAAGTCACATCCAACCTCTAGAACTCCACTTAGGCACGCCCACAGGCCATGGTGGGTCTAGGAGGGTATTCACACTTCAGTAGACTCTCCACAAAGTCCTTAATCAGCTCTGATACCACTTGTTAGAGACTAAGGATCAAGTCTATGAAGATTAGGTGCTCAAATTTATCAAAATCGTTGGTCTCAATTTCTGGACAGAAACGTCGACTTCAGAAGAAACGTCGTCGACGGAAGGTGCACTGTTAGAAACCCACCAAATTCGAATATGTTGTAGCCCTAGACCGTGGCTACATTTATCAATTCGAATCGTATCAAAATATGATGCATATCTCGAGTTATCTGTTTCGGCGCACTAGGGGGTATGCTGCCACAGAAATTTTACTCAATCACAATTAACTCACAAGTTCCACAAAAGTGCACACAAGAGAGTTAGGGTAGCACTAAACCAGGTAGGAGGGAAGAGGAGGACGAGAGGGAAGGTCCCAAGAGATTCCCCAACCAAGGAAACCCCATGCCACACAATTCCCTTCCCCATAGGCAACCCCACTTTCACATTTGTCACTTTCCCAACTCATGCCATCCACCTCAACCCACTTGGCCACACTTGCCAACCTGGTTTGGCTTCACCCAACCACATGGCAGCATTCTACAGTGATGGGTTCGAATTCCCAACCCCCAAAAGTCTGTACCCCATATTGAGTCAACCCCACAACTTCCCATAGTCGCCACAACCGAAGTACAGAAAGCATACGAACCCCAACGTTCGTAACTTTCTTGATATTGCTCCGATCGCGACGATTCTTGGCTCGTCGGAAAGATCTTGAGTAGAGCTGTCACATCAGATATCTGCCCAATCCAAACATCATCCACACACACTCGAAAAATCCAAACCGCGCAAAACACAAATTCTTGCACACGTTCACACCACGCTTGCAACACACGAAGACTTGATGGAGGCAGACAGACGTGAATGCATATGTTTGCATCACAACAACCCCGCCCCATTCTTCCGCTTTTCATCACCCCGCCCCATTCTCCCGCTTTCCATCACCCCGCCCCATTCTCCCGCTTTCCATCACCCCGCCCCATTCTCCCGCTTTCCATCACCCCGCCCCATTCTCCCGCTTTCCATCACTTCGCCCCATTCTCCCGCTTTCCATCACCCCGCCCTATTCTCAAGCTTTCCATCACCCCGCCCCATTCTCCCGCTTTCCATCACCCCGCCCCATTCTCCCGCTTTCCATCACCCCGCCCCATTCTCACGCTTTCCATCACCCCGCACCATTCTCCCGCTTTCCATCACCCCGCCCCATTCTCCCGCTTTCCATCACCCCGCCCCATTCTCCCGCTTTCCATCACCCCGCCCCATTCTCCCTCTTTCCATCACCCCGCCCCATTCTCCCGCTTTCCATCACCCCGCCCCATTCTCCCGCTTTCCATCACCCCACCGCATTCTCCCGTTTTCCATCACCCCGCCCCATTCTCCCGCTTTCCATCACCCCGCCCCATTCTCCCGCTTTCCATCACCCCACCCCATTCTCCCGTTTTCCATCACCCCGCCCCATTCTCCCGCTTTCCATCACCCCGCCCCATTCTCCCTCTTTTCATCACCCCGCCCCATTCTCCCTCTTTCCATCACCCCACCCCATCCTCCCTCTTTCCATCGCCCCGCCCCATTCTTCCACTTTTCATCACCCCGTCCCATTCTCCCGCTTTCCATCACCCCGCCCCATTCCCCCTCTTTCCATCAGCCTGCCCCATTCTCCCGCTCTCCATCACCCCGCCCTATTCTCCCTATTTCTATCACCCTGCCCCATTCTCCCGCTTTCCATCACCCCGCTTTCCATCACCCCGCCCCATTCTCCCGCTTTCCATCACCCCGCCCCATTCTCCCTCTTTCCATCACCCCGCCCCATTCTCCCTCTTTCCATCACCTCGCCCTATTCTCCCTCTTCCCATCACCCCGCCCCATTCTCCCGCTTTCCATTACCCCGCCCCATTCTCCCGCTTTCCATCACCCCGCCCCATTCTCCCTCTTTCATCACCCCTGCCCCATTCTCACGCTTTCCATCATCCCGCCCCATTCTCCCGCTTTCCATCACTCCGCCCCATTCTACCGCTTTCCATCACCCCGCCCTATTCTCAAGCTTTCCATCACCCCGCCCCATTCTCCCGCTTTCCATCACCCCGCCCCATTCTCCCGCTTTCCATCACCCCGCCCCATTCTCCCGCTTTCCATCACCCCGCACCATTCTCCCGCTTTCCATCACCCCGCCCCATTCTCCCGCTTTCCATCACCCCGCCCCATTCTCCCGCTTTCCATCACCCCGCCCCTTTCTCCCTCTTTCCATCACCCCGCCCCATTCTCCCGCTTTCCATCACCCCGCCCCATTCTTCCGCTTTCCATCACCCCACCCCATTCTCCCGTTTTCCATCACCCCGCCCCATTCTCCCGCTTTCCATCACCCCGCCCCATTCTCCCGCTTTCCATGACCCCACCCCATTCTCCCGTTTTCCATCACCCCGCCCCATTCTCCCGCTTTCCATCACCCCGCCCCATTCTCCCTCTTTTCATCACCCCGCCCCATTCTCCCTCTTTCCATCACCCCACCCCATCCTCCCTCTTTCCATCGCCCCGCCCCATTCTTCCACTTTTCATCACCCCGTCCCATTCTCCCGCTTTCCATCACCCCGCCCCATTCCCCCTCTTTCCATCAGCCTGCCCCATTCTCCCGCTCTCCATCACCCCGCCCTATTCTCCCTATTTCTATCACCCTGCCCCATTCTCCCACTTTCCATCACCCCACTTTCCATCACCCCGCCCCATTCTCCCGCTTTCCATCACCCCGCCCCATTCTCCCTCTTTCCATCACCCCGCCCCATTCTCCCGCTTTCCATCACCCTGCCCCATTCACCCGCTTTCCATCACCCGCCCCATTCTCCCTCTTTCCATCACCTCGCCCTATTCTCCCTCTTCCCATCACCCCGCCCCATTCTCCCGCTTTCCATTACCCCGCCCCATTCTCCCGCTTTCCATCACCCCGCCCCATTCTCCCTCTTTCCATCACCCCTGCCCCATTCTCACGCTTTCCATCATCCCGCCCCATTCTCCCGCTTTCCATCACCCCGCCCCTTTCTTCCTCTTTCCATCACCCCGCCCCATTCTCCCGCTTTCCATCTCCCCAACCCATTCTCCCGCTTTCCATCACCCCGCCCCATTCTCCCGCTTTCCATCACCCCGCCCCATTCTCCCGCTTTCCATCACCCCGCCCCATTCTTCCGCTTTCCATCACCCCAGCCCATTCTCCCTCTTTCCATCTCCCCGCCCCATTCTCCCTCTCTCCATCACCCCGCCCCATTCTCCCACTTTCCATCATCCCGCCCCATTCTCCCGCTTTCAATCACCCCGCCCCATTCTTCCGCTTTCCATCACCCCGCCCCATTCTCCCTCTTTCCATCACCCCGCCCAATTCTCCCGCTTTCCATCACCCCGCCCCATTCTCCCGCTTTCGATCACCCCACCCCATTCTCCCGTTTTCCATCACCCCGCCCCATTCTCCCGCTTTCCATCACCCCGCCCCATTCTCCCTCTTTTCATCACCCCGCCCCATTCTCCCTCTTTCCATCACCCCACCCCATCCTCCCTCTTTCCATCGCCCCGCCCCATTCTTCCACTTTTCATCACCCCGTCCCATTCTCCCGCTTTCCATCACCCCGCCCCATTCCCCCTCTTTCCATCAGCCTGCCCCATTCTCCCGCTCTCCATCACCCCGCCCTATTCTCCCTATTTCTATCACCCTGCCCCATTCTCCCGCTTTCCATCACCCCGCTTTCCATCACCCCGCCCCATTCTCCCGCTTTCCATCACCCCGCTTTCCATCATCCCGCCCCATTCTCCCGCTTTCAATCACCCCGCCCCATTCTTCCGCTTTCCATCACCCCGCCCCATTCTCCCTCTTTCCATCACCCCGCCCAATTCTCCCGCTTTCCATCACCCCGCCCCATTCTCCCGCTTTCGATCACCCCACCCCATTCTCCCGTTTTCCATCACCCCGCCCCATTCTCCCGCTTTCCATCACCCCGCCCCATTCTCCCTCTTTTCATCACCCCGCCCCATTCTCCCTCTTTCCATCACCCCACCCCATCCTCCCTCTTTCCATCGCCCCGCCCCATTCTTCCACTTTTCATCACCCCGTCCCATTCTCCCGCTTTCCATCACCCCGCCCCATTCCCCCTCTTTCCATCAGCCTGCCCCATTCTCCCGCTCTCCATCACCCCGCCCTATTCTCCCTATTTCTATCACCCTGCCCCATTCTCCCGCTTTCCATCACCCCGCTTTCTATCACCCCGCCCCATTCTCCCGCTTTCCATCACCCCGCCCCATTCTCCCTCTTTCCATCACCCCGCCCCATTCTCCCGCTTTCCATCACCCTGCCCCATTCACCCGCTTTCCATCACCCGCCCCATTCTCCCTCTTTCCATCACCTCGCCCTATTCTCCCTCTTCCCATCACCCCGCCCCATTCTCCCGCTTTCCATTACCCCGCCCCATTCTCCCGCTTTCCATCACCCCGCCCCATTCTCCCTCTTTCCATCACCCCTGCCCCATTCTCACGCTTTCCATCATCCCGCCCCATTCTCCCGCTTTCCATCACCCCGCCCCTTTCTTCCTCTTTCCATCACCCCGCCCCATTCTCCCGCTTTCCATCTCCCCAACCCATTCTCCCGCTTTCCATCACCCCGCCCCATTCTCCCGCTTTCCATCACCCCGCCCCATTCTCCCGCTTTCCATCACCCCGCCCCATTCTTCCGCTTTCCATCACCCCGCCCCATTCTCCCTCTTTCCATCTCCCCGCCCCATTCTCCCTCTCTCCATCACCCCGCCCCATTCTCCCACTTTCCATCATCCCGCCCCATTCTCCCGCTTTCAATCACCCCGCCCCATTCTTCCGCTTTCCATCACCCCGCCCCATTCTCCCTCTTTCCATCAGCCCGCCCCATTCTCCCTCTTTCCATCACCCCGCCCCATTCTCCCCCTTTCCATCACCCCGCCCCATTCTCCCGCTATTTCATCACCCCGCCCCATTCTCCCTCTTTCCATAACCGCGCCCTATTCTCCCTCTTTCCATCACCCCGCAACATTCTCCCTCTTTCCATCACCCCACCCCATTCTCCCGCTTTCCATCACCCCGCCCCATTCTCTTGCTTTCCATCAACCCGCCTCATTCTCCCGCTTTCCATCACCCCACCCTATTCTCCCGCTTTCCATCACCCCGCCCCATTCTCCCGCTTTCCATCACCCCCCCCTATTCTCCCTCTTTCCATCACCCTGCCCCATTCTCCCGCTTTCCATCACCCAGCCCCATTCTCCTTCTTTCCATCACCCCACCCAATTGTCCCGCTTTCCATCACCCCGCCCCATTCTCCCTCTTTCCATCACCCCGCCCCATTCTCCCGCTCTCCACCACCCCGCTCCATTCTCCTGCTTTCCATCACCCCGCCCAATTCTCCCTCTTTCCATCACCCCTCCCCATTCTCCCTCTTTCCATCACCCCGCCACATTCTCCCGCTTTCCATCACCCCGCCTCATTATCCCTCTTTCCATCACCCCGCCCCATTCTCCCGCTTTCCATCACACCGCCCCATTCTCCCTCTATCCACCACCCCGCCCTATTCTCCCTCTTTCCATCACCCCGCCCCATTCTCCCGCCTTCCATCACCCCGCCCCATTCTCCCGCTTTCCATCACCCCTCCCCATTCTCCCGCTTTCCATCACCCCGCCCCATTCTCCCGCTTTCCATCACCCCGCCCCATTCTCGCTCTTTCCATCACCCCGACCTATTCTCCCTCTTTCCATCACCCCGCCCCATTCTCCCGCTTTCCATCACCCCGCCCCATTCTCCCGCTTTCCATCACCCCGCCCCATTCTCCCGCTTTCCATCACCCTGCCCCATTCACCCGCTTTCCATCACCCGCCCCATTCTCCCGCTTTCCATCACCCCGCCCCATTCTCCCGCTTTCCATCACCCCGCTCTATTCTCCCGCCTTCCATCACCCCGCCCCATTCTCCCGCTTTCCATCACCCCGACCCATTCTCCCGCGTTCCATCACTCCGCCCCATTCTCCCTCCTTCCATCACCCCGACCCATTCTCCCACTTTCCATCACCCCGCCCCATTCTCCCTCCTTCCATCACCCCGCCTCATTCTCCCTCCTTCCATCACCCCGCCCCATTCTCCCGCTTTCCATCACCCCGCCCCATTCTCCCGCTTTCCATCACCCAGCCCCATTCTCCTGCTTTCCATCACCCCGCCCCATTTTCCCGCTTTCCATCACCCCGCCCCATTCTCCCGCTTTCCATCACCCCGCCCCATTCTCCCTCGGGATGATGCGAAGCAGGAGAATGGGGCGGGGTGATGGAAAGCAGGAGAATGGGGCGGGGTGATGGACAGCGGGAGAATGGGGCGGGGTGATGGAAAAGTGGAGAATGGGGCGGGGTGATCGAAAGCGGGAGAATGGGGCGGGGTGATGGAAAGCGGGAGAATGGGGCGGGGTGATGGAAAGCGGGAGAATGGGGTGGGCTGATGGAAAGCGGGAGAATGGGGTGGGGTGATGGAAGGAGGGAGAATGGGGCGGGGTGATGGAAGGAGGGAGAATGGGGCGGGTGATGGAAGGAGGGAGAATGGGGCGGGGTTATGGAAAGCGGGAGAATGGGGCGGGGTGATGGAAAGCGTGAGAATGGGGCGGGGTGATAGCAAGAGTGAAAATAAGGCGGGGTGATGGAAAGTGGGAGAATGGGGCTGGGTGATGGAAAGCGGGAGAATGGGGCGGGGTGATGGAAAGCGGGAGAATCGGGCGGGGTGATGGAAGGAGGGATAATGAGGCGGAGTGATGGAAGGAGGGAGAATGGGGCGGGGTGATGAAAAGCAGGAGAATGGGGCGGGGTGATGGAAAGCGGGAGAATGGGGCGGAGTGATGGAAAGCGGGAGAATGGAGCGGGGTGATGGAAAGCGGGAGAATGGGGCGGGGTGTTGGAAAGCGGGAGAATGGGGCGGGGTGATGAAAAGCGGGAGAATGGGGCGGGGTGATGGAAAGTGGGAGAATGGGGCGGGGTGATGGAAAGCAGGAGAATGGGGCGGGTGATGGAAAGCGGGTGAATGGGGCGGGATGATGCAAAGCAGGAGAATGGGGGGGGGTGATGGAAAGCAGAAGAATAGGGCGGGGTGATGGAAAGCGGGAGATGGGGCGAGGTGATGGAAAGCGGGAGAATGGGGCGGGTAATGGAAAGCGGGAGAATGGGGCGGGGTGATAGAAGGAGGGAGAATGGGGAGGGGTGATGGAAAGCGGGGGAATGGGGCGGAATGATGGGAAGCGGGAGAATGGGGCGGGGTGATGGAAAGCGGGAGAATGGGGCGGGTTGATGGAAAGCGGGAGAATGGGGCAGGGAGATGGAAAGCGGGAGAAAGGGGCGGGCTGATGGAAAGCTAGAGAATGGGGCGGGGTGATGGAAGGAGGGAGAATGGGGCTGGGTGATGGAAGGAGGGAGAAGGGGGCGGCGTGATGGAAAGCGGGAGAATGGGTCGGGGTGATGGAAAGCGGGAGAATGGGGCGGGGTGATGGAAGGAAGGAGAATGGGGCGGGTTGATGGAAAGCGGGAGAATGTGGCGGGGTGATGGAAAGCGGGAGAATGAGGTGGGGTTATAGGAAGCGGGAGAATGGGGCGGGGTGATGGAAAGCGGGAGAATGGGGCGGGGTGATGGAAGGAGGGAGAATAGCGCGGGGTGATGGAAAGCGGGAGAATGGGGCGGGGTGATGGAAGGAGGGAGAATGGGGCGGGGTGATGGAAAGCGGGAGAATGGGGCGGGGTGATGGAAGGAGGGAGAATGGGGCGGGGTGATGGAAAGCGGGAGAATGGGGCGGGGAGATGGAAAGCGGGAGAATGGGGCGCGGTGATGGAAAGTGGGAGAATGGGGCGGAGTGATGGAAAGCGGCAGAATGGGGCGGGGTGATGGAAGGAGGGAGAATGGGGCGGGGTGATGGAAAGCGGGAGAATGGGGCGGGGTGATGGAAAGCGGGAGCATGGGGCGGGGTGATGGAAGGTGGTAGAATGAGGCGAGGTGATGGAATGAGGGAGAATGGGGCGGGGAGATGGAAAGCGGGAGAATGGGGCGGGGTGATGGAAGGAGGGAGAATGGGGCGGGTGATGGAAGGAGGGAGAATGGGGCGGGGTTATGGAAAGCGGGAGAATGGGGCGGGGTGATGGAAAGCGTGAGAATGGGGCGGGGTGATAGCAAGGGGGAAAATAAGGCGGGGTGATGGAAAGCGGGAGAATGGGGCGGGGTGATGGAAAGCGGGAGAATGGGGTGGGCTGATGGAAAGCGGGAGAATGGGGTGGGGTGATGGAAGGAGGGAGAATGGGGCGGGGTGATGGAAGGAGGGAGAATGGGGCGGGTGATGGAAGGAGGGAGAATGGGGCGGGGTTATGGAAAGCGGGAGAATGGGGCGGGGACGTGGGAGAATGGGGCTGGGTGATGGAAAGCGGGAGGAATGGGGCGGGGTGGATTGGAAAGCGGGAGAGATGGGCGTGGGCGGGGTGATGGAAGGAGGATAATTGAGGCGGGAGTGATGGAAGGAAGGAGATGGGGCGGGGTGATGAAAAGCAAGGAGAATGGGGGCGGGGTGATGGAAAGCGGGAGAGATATGGGGCGGAGTGATAGGGGAAAGCGGGAGAATGGAGGCCGGGGTGAGGAAAGCGGGAGAATGGGGCCGGGGTGTTGGAAAGCGGGGAGAATGGGGCGTGGGGATAGAAGGTAGGGAAGAATGGGGAGGGGTGATGGATAATCGGGGGAATGGGGCCGGGATGTATGGGAAGCTGGGAGATGGGGGCCTGGGTGATGGAAAGTGGGAGATGGGGCGGGTTTGATGGGAAAGCGGGAGAATGGGGCAGGGGGAGAGGGAAAGCGGAGAAAGGGGCGGGCTGATGGAAAGCGAGAGAATGGGGCGGGGTGATGGAAGGAGGGAGAATGGGGCGGGGTGATGGAAGAAGGGAGAAGGGGGCGGCGTGATGGAAAGCGGGAGAATGGGGCGGGGTGATGGAAAGCGGGAGAATGGGGCGGGGTGATGGAAGGAAGGAGAATGGGGCGGGGTGATGGAAAGCGGGAGAATGTGGCGGGGTGATGGAAAGCGGGAGAATGAGGTGGGGTTATAGGAAGCGGGAGAATGGGGCGGGGTGATGGAAAGCGGGAGAATGGGGCGGGGTGATGGAAGGAGGGAGAATAGCGCGGGGTGATGGAAAGCGGGAGAATGGGGGAGGGTGATGGAAGGAGGGAGAATGGGGCGGGGTGATGGAAAGCGGGAGAATGGGGCGGGGTGATGGAAGGAGGGAGAATGGGGCGGGGTGATGGAAAGCGGGAGAATGGGGCGGGGTGATGGAAAGCGGGAGAATGGGGCGCGGTGATGGAAAGCGGGAGAATGGGGCGGAGTGAAGGAAAGCGGCAGAATGGGGCGAGGGTGATGGAAGGAGGGAGAATGGGGCGGGGTGATGGAAAGCGGGAGAATGGGGCGGGGTGATGGAAAGCGGGAGCATGGGGCGGGGTGATAGAAGGTGGTAGAATGAGGCGAGGTGATGGAATGAGGGAGAATGGGGCGGGGAGATGGAAAGCGGGAGAATGGGGCGGGGTGATGGAAAGCGGGAGAATGGGGCGGGGTGATGGAAAGCGGGAGAATGGGGCAGGTTGATGGAAAGCGGGAGAATGGGGCGGGGTGATGGAAAGCGGGAGAATGGGGCGGGGTGATGGAAAGCGGGAGAATGGGGCGGGGTGATGGAAAGCGGGAGAATGGGGTGGGCTGATGGAAAGCGGGAGAATAGGGCGGGGTGATGGAAGGAGGAAGAAAGGGGCGGGGTGATGGAAGGAGGGAGAACGGGGCGTGTGATGGAAGGAGGGAGAATGGGGCGGGGTTATGGAAAGCGGGAGAATGGGGCGGGGTGATGGAAAGCGGGAGAATGGGGCGGGGTGATGGAAGGAGGGAGAATGGGGCGGGGTGATGGAAAGCGGGAGATTGGGGCAGGGTGATGGAAAGCGTGAGAATGGGGCAGGGTGATAGAAAGCGGGAAAATGGGGCGGGGTGATGGAAAGTGGGAGAATGGGGCTGGGTGATGGAAAGCGGGAGAATGGGGCGGGGTGATGGAAAGCGGGAGAATGGGGCGGGGTGATGGAAAGCGGGAGAATGGGGCGGGGTGATGGAAAGCGGGAGAATGGGGCGGGTGATGGAAAGCGGGTGAAAGGGGCGGGGTGATGGGAGAATGGGGCGGGGTGATGGAAAGCGGGAGCATGGGGCGGGGTGATGGAAAGCGGGAGAATGGGGCGGGGTGATGGAAGGAGGGAGAATGGGGCGGGGTGATGGAAAGCGGGAGAATGGGGCGGGGTGATGGAAAGCGGGAGAATGGGGCGGGGTGATGAAAAGCGGGAGAATGAGGCGGGGTGATGGAAAGCAGGAGCATGGGGCGGGGTGATGGAAGGAGGTAGAATGAGGCGGGGTGATGGAAGGAGGGAGAATGGGGCGGGGTGATGGAAAGTGGGAGAATGGGGCGGGGTGATGGAAAGCGGGAGAATGGGGCGGGGTGATGGAAAGCGGGAGAATGGGGCGGGGAGATGCAAAGCGGGAGAAAGGGGCGGGGTGATGGAAAGCGGGAGAATGGGGCGGGCTGATAGAAAGTGGGAGAATGGGGCGAGGTGATGGAAAGAGGGAGAATGGGGCGGGGTGATGGAAGAAGGGAGAAGGGGGCGGGGTGATGGAAAGCGGGAGAAGTGGGGTGGGGTGATGAAAAGCGAGAGAATGGGGCGGGGTGATGGAAAGCGGGAGAATGGGGAGGGCTGATGGAAAGCGGGAGAATGGGGCGGGGTGATCAAAGGAGGGAGAATGGGGCGGGGTGATGGAAGGAGGGAGAATGGGGCGGTGTGATGGAAGGAGGGAGAATGGGGCGGGGTGATGGAAAGTGGGAGAATGTGGCGGGGTGATGGAAAGCAGGAGAATGGGGCGGGGTTATGGAAAGCGGGAGAATGGGCTGGGGTGTTGGAAAGCGGGAGAATGGGGCGGGGTGATGAAAAGTGGGAGAATGGGGCGGGGTGATGGAAAGCGGGAGAACGGGGCGGGGTGATGGAAAGCGGGAGAATGGGGCGGGGTGATGGAAAGCGGGAGAATGGGGCGAGGTGATGGAAAGAGGGAGAATGGGACGGGTGATGGAAAGTGGGAGAATGGGGCGGGGTGATGGAAGGAGGGAGAATGGGGAGGGGTGATGGAAAGCGGGGGAATGGGGCGGGATGATGGGAAGCGGAAGAATGGGGCGGGGTGATGGAAAGCGGGAGAACGGGGCAGGGTGATGGAAAGCCGGAGAATAGGGCGGGCTGATGGAAAGCGGGAGAATGGGGCGGGGTGATGAAAGGAGGGAGAATGGGGCGGGGTGATGGAAGGAGAGAGAAGGGGGTGGGGTGATGGAAAGTGGGAAAATGTGGCGGGGTGATGGAAAGCGGGAGAATGGGGTGGGGTTATGGGAAGCGGGAGAATGGGGCGGGGTGATGGAAAGCGGGAGAATGGAGCGGGGTGATGGAATGAGGGAGAATGGGGCGGGGTGATGGAAGGAGGGAGAATGGGGGGGGGTGATAGAAAGCGGGAGAATGGGGCGGGGTGATGGAAGGAGGGAGAATGGGGCGGGGTGATGGAAAGCGGGAGAATGGGGCGGGGTGATGGAAAGCTGGAGAATGGGGCGGGGTGATGGAAAGCGGGAGAATGGGGCTAGGTGATGGAAAGCGGGAGAATGGGGCGGGGTGATGGAAAGCGGGAGAATGGGGCGGGGTGATGGAAGGAGGGAGAATGGGGCGGGGTGATGGAAGGAGGAAGAAGGGGGCGGGGTGATGGAAAGCGAGAGAATGGGCTGGGGTGTTGGAAAGCGGGAGAATGGGGCGGGGTGATGGAAAGCGGGAGAATGGGGCGGGGTGATGGAAGGAGGGAGAATGGGGCGGGGTGATGGAAGGAGGGAGAATGGGGCGGAGTGATGGAAAGCGGGAGAATGGGGCGGGGTGATGGAAAGCGGGAGAATGGGGCGGGGTGATGGAAAGCGGGAGAATGGGGCGGGGTGACGGAAATCGGGAGAATGGGGCGGGGTGATGGAAAGCGGGAGAATGGGGCGGGGTGATGGAAGGAGGGAGGATGGGGCGGGGTGATAGAAAGCGGGAAAATGTGGTGGGGTGATGGAAGGAGGGAGAATGGGGCGGGGTGATGGAAAGCGGGAGAATGGGGCGGGGTGATGGAAGGAGGGAGAATGGGGCGGGGTGATGGAAAGCGGGAGAATGGGGCGGGGTGATGGAAAGCGGGAGAATGGGGCGGGGTGATGGAAAGCGGGAGAATGGGGCTGGGTGATGGAAAGCGGGAGAATGGGGCGGGGTGATGGAAGGAGGGAGAATGGGGCGGGGTGATGGAAAGCGGGAGATTGGGGCAGGGTGATGGAAAGCGGGAGAATGGGGCGGGGTGATGGAAAGCGGAAAAATGGGACGGGGTGATGGAAAGCGGGAGAATGGGGCTAAGTGATGGAAAGCGGGAGAATGGGGCGGGGTGATGGAAAGCGGGAGAATGGGGCGGAGTGATGGACGGGGGGAGAATGGGTCGGGGTGATGGAAAGCGGGAGAATGGGGCGGAGTGATGGAAAGCGGGAGAATGGGGCGGGGTGATGGAAAGCGGGAGAAAGGGGCGGGGTGATGGACAGCGGGAGAATGGGGCGGGCTGATGAAAAGCGGGAGAATGGGGCGGGGTGATGGAAGGAGGGAGAATGGGGTGGGGTGATGGAAGGAGAATGAAGGGGGCCGGGTGATGGAAAGTGGGAAAATGTGGCGGGGTGATGGAAAGCGGGAGAATGGGGTGGGGTTATGGGAAGCGGGAGAATGGGGCGGGGTGATGGAAAGCGGGAGAATGGGGCGGGGTGATGGAATGAGGGAGAATGGGGCGGGGTGATGGAAGGAGGGAGAATGGGGCGGGGTGATGGAAAGCGGGAGAATGGGGCGGGGTGATGGAAGGAGGAAGAATGGGGCGGGGTGATGGAAAGCGGGAGAATGGGGCGGGGTGATGGAAGGAGGGAGAGTGGGGAGGGGTGATGGAAAGCGGGGGAATGGGGCGGGATGATGGGAAGCGGAAGAATGGGGCAGGGTGACAGAAAGCGGGAGAATGGGGCGGGGAGATGGAAAGCGGGAGAAAGGGGAGGGGTGATGGAAAGCGGGAGAATGGGGCGGGCTGATGGAAAGCAGAAGAATGGGGCGGGGTGATGGAAGGAGGGAGAATGGGGCGGGTTGATGGAAGGAGAGAGAAGGCGGCGGGGTGATGGAAAGTGGGAAAATGTGGCGGGGTGATGGAAAGCGGGAGAATGGGGTGGGGTTATGGGAAGCGGGAGAATGGGGTGGGGTGATGGAAAGGGGGAGAATGGGGCGGGGTGATGGAAGGAGGGAGAATGGGGCGGGGTGATGGAAGGAGGGAGAATGGGGCGCAGTGATGGAAAGCAGGAGAATGGGGCGGGGTGATGGAAGGAGGGAGAATGGGGCAGGATGATGGAAAGCGGGAGAATGGGGCGGGGTGATGGAAAGCGGGAGAATGGGGCGGGGTGATGGAATCGGGAAATCGGGGAGAATGGGGCGGGGTGATGGAAGGAGGGAGAATGGGGCGGGGTGATGGAAAGCGGGAGAATGGGGCGGGGTGATGGAAGGAGGGAGAATGGGGCGGGGTGATGGAAAGCGGGAGAATGGGGCGGGGTGATGGAAAGCGGGAGAATGGGGCGGGGTGATGGAAAGCGGGAGAATAGGGCTGGGTGATGGAAAGCGGGAGAATGGGGCGGGGTGATGGAAAGCGGGAGAATGGGGCGGGGTGATGGAAGGAGGGAAAACGGGGTGGGGTGATGGAAAGGGGGAGATTGGGGCAGGGTGATGGAAAGCGGGGGAATGGGGCGGGGTGATGGAAGGAGGGAGAAGGGGGCGGGGTGATGGAAAGCGGGAGATTGGGGCACAGTGATGGAAAGCGGGAGAATGGGGCGGGGTGATGGAAAGCGGAAAAATGGGGGGGGATGATGGAAAGCGGGAGAATGGGGCTAAGTGATGGAAAGCGGGAGAATGGGGCGGGGTGATGGAAAGCGGGAGAATGGGGCGGGGTGATTGAAGGAGGGAGAATGAGGCGGGGTGATGGAAGGAGGGAGAATGGGGCGGGGTGATGGAAAGTGGGAGAATGGGTCGGGGTGATGGAAAGCGGGAGAATGGGGCGGAGTGATGGAAAGCGGGAGAATGGGGTGGGGTGATGGAAAGCAGGAGAATGGGGCGGGCTGATGGAAAGCGGGAGTATGGGGCGGGGTGATGGAAGGAGGGAGAATGGGGCGGGGTGATGGAAGGAGAGAGAAGGGGGCGGGGTGATGGAAAGTGGGAAAATGTGGCGGGGTGATGGAAAGCGGGAGAATGGGGTGGGGTTATGGGAAGCGGGAGAGTGGGGCGGGGTGATGGAAAGCGGGAGAATGGGGCGGGGTGATGGAATGAGGGAGAATGGGGCGGGGTGATGGAAGGAGGGAGAATGGGGCGGGGTGATGGAAAGCGGGAGAATGGGGCAGGGTGATGGAAGGAGGAAGAATGGGGCAGGGTGATGGAAAGCAGGGTGATGGAAGGAGGAAGAATGGGGCGATGATGGAAAGCAGGAGAACGGGGCGGGGTGATGGAAAGCGAGAGAATGGGGCGGGGTGATGGAAGGAGGGAGAATGGGGAGGGGTGATGGAAAGCGGGAGAAAGGGGAGGGGTGATGGAAAGCGGGAGAATGGCGCGGGCTGATGGAAAGCGGGAGAATGGGGCAGGGTGATGGAAGGAGGGAGAATGGGGCGGGGTGATGGAAGGAGAGAGAAGGGGGCGGGGTGATGGAAAGTGGGAGATTGTGGCGGGGTGATGGAAAGCGGGAGAATGGGGTGGGGTTATGGGAAGCGGGAGAAGGAGGCGGGGTGATGGAAAGCGGGAGAATGGGGCGGGGTGATGGAAGGAGGGAGAATGGGGCGGGGTGATGGAAGGAGGGATAATGGGGCGGAGTGATGGAAAGCGGGAGAATGGGACGGGGTGATGGAAAGCGGGAGAATGGGGCGGGGTGATGGAAAGCGAGAGAATGGGGCGAGGTGATGGAAGCAGGGAGAATGGGGAGGGGTGATGGAAAGCGGGGGAATGGGGCGGGATGATGGGAAGCGGAAGAATGGGGCGGGGTGATGGAAGGAGGGAGAATGGGGCGGGATGATGGAAAGCGGGAGAATGGGGCGGGGTGATGGAAAGCGGGAGAATGGGGCGGGGTGATGGAAATCGGGAGAATGGGGCGGGGTGATGGAAAGCGGGAGAATGGGGCGGGGTGATGGAAGGAGGGAGAATGGGGCGGGGTGATAGAAAGCGGGAGAATGTGGCGGGGTGATGGAAAGCGGGAGAATGGGGCGAGGTGATGGAAAGCGGGAGAATGGGGCGGGGTGATGGAAGGAGGGAGAATGGGGCGGGGTGATGGAAGGAGGGAGAATGGGGCGGGGTGATGGAAAGCGGGAGAATGGGGCGGGGTGATGGAAGGAGGGAGAATGGGACGGGGTGATGGAAGGAGGGAGAATGGGGTGGGGTGATGGAAAGCGGGAGAATGGGGCGGGGTGATGGAAAGCGGGAGAATGGGGCTGGGTGATGGAAAGCGGGAGAATGGAGTGGGGTGATGGAAAGCGGGAGAATGGGGCAGGGTGATGGAAAGCGGGAGAATGGGGCGGGGTGATGGAAAGCGGGAGATTGGGGCAGGGTGATGGAAAGCGGGAGAATGGGGCGGGGTGATGGAAAGCGGGAGAATGGGGCTGGGTGATGGAAAGCGGGAGAATGGGGCGGGGTGATGGAAAGCGGGAGAATGGGGCGGGGTGATGGAAGGAGGGAGAATGAGGGGAGGTGATGGAAGGAGGGAGAATGGGGCGGGGTGATGGAAAGTGGGAGAATGGGTCGGAGTGATGGAAAGCGGGAGAATGGGGCGGGGTGATGGAAAGCGGGAGAATGGGGCGAGGTGATGGAAAGCGGGAGAATGGGGCAGGGTGATGGAAAGCGGGAGAATGGGGCGGGGTGATGGAAAGCGGGAGATTGGGGCAGGGTGATGGAAAGCGGGAGAATGGGGCTGGGTGATGGAAAGCGGGAGAATGGGGCGGGGTGATGGAAAGCGGGAGAATGGGGCGGGGGTGATGGAAGGAGGGAGAATGAGGGCGGGGTGATGGAAGGAGGGAGAATGGGGCGGGGTGATGGAAAGTGGGAGAATGGGTCGGGGTGATGGAAAGCGGGAGAATGGGGCGGAGTGATGGAAAGCGGGAGAATGGGGCGGGGTGATGGAAAGCGGGAGAATGGGGCGGGGTGATGGAAGGCGGGAGAATGGGGCGGGGTGATGGAAAGCGGGAGAATGGGGCGGGGTGATGGAAAGCGGGAGAATGGGGCGGGTGATGGAAAGCGGTAGAATGGGGGCAGGGTGATGGAAAGTGGGAGAATGGTGAGGGGTGATGGAAAGCGAAAGAATGGGGCGGGGTGATGGAATGCGGGAGAATGGGGCGGGGTGATGGAAAGCGGGAGAATGGGGCGGGGTGATGGAAAGCGGGAGAATGGGGCGGGATGATGGAAAGCGGGAGAAAGGGGGCGGGTGATGGAAAGCGGGAGAATGGGAAAGCAGGAGAATGGGGCAAGGTGATGGAGAGCGGGAGAATGGGGCGGGGTGATCGAGAGCGGCAGAATGGGGCGGGTGATGGAAAGCGGGAGAATGGGCGGGGTGATGGAAAGCGGAGAATGGGGCAGGGGTGTTGGAAAGCGGGAGAATGGGGCAGGGTGATGGAAAGCGGGAGAATGGGCGGGGTGATGGAAAGCGGGAGAATGGGGCGGGGTGATGGAAAGCGGGAGAATGGGGCGGGGTGATGGAAGGAGGGAGAATGGGGCGGGGTGATGGAAAGCGGGAGAATGGGGCGGGGGTGATGGAAGCGGGAGAATGGGGCGGGGTGATGGAAGGAGGGGGAAGGGGGCGGGGTGATGGAAAGCGGGAGAATGGGGCTGGGTGATGGAATGCGGAAGAATAAGGCGGGGTGATGGAAAGCAGGAGAATGGGGCGGGGTGATGGAAGGAGGGAGAATGGGGCGAGGTGATGGAAGAAGGGAGAATGGGGCGGGGTGATGGAAAGCCGAGAAATGGGGCGGGGTGATGGAAAGCGGAGAATGGGGCGGGGTGATGGAAGCGGGAGAATGGGGCGGGTGATGGAAAGTGGGAGAATGTGGCGGGGTGATGGAAAGCGGGAGAATGGAGTGGGGTTATGGAAGCAGGAGATTGGGGCGGGGTGATGGAAAGCGGGAGAATGGGGCGGGGTGATCGAAGGAGGGAGAATGGGGCGGGGTGATGGAAGGAGGGAGAATGGGGCGGAGTGATGGAAAGCGCGAGAATGGGGCGGGGTGATGGAAGGAGGGAGAATGGGGCGGGGTGATGGAAAGCGAGAGAATGGGGCGGGGTGATGGAAGGAGGGAGAATGGGGAGGGGTGATGGAAAGCGGGGGAATGGGGCGGGGTGATAGAAGGAGGGAGAATGGGGCGGGGTGATGGAAAGCGGGAGAATGGGGCGGGGTGATGGAAGGAGGGAGAATGGGGCGGGGTGATGGAAGGAGGGAGAATGGGGCGGGGTGATGGAAAGCGGGAGAATGGGGCGGGGTGATGGAAAGTAGAAGAATGGGGCGGGGTGATGGAAAGCGGGAGAATGGGGCGAGGTGATGGAAAGCGGGAGAATGGAGCGGGTGATGGAAAGCGGAAGAATGGGGCGGGGTGTGATGGAAGGAGGGAGAAATGGGAGAGTGGTGATGGAAAGCGGTGGAATGGGGCGGGATGATGGGAAGCGGAAGAATGGGGCGGGGTGATGGAAAGCGGGAGAATGGGGCGGGGGTGATGGAAAGCGGGAGAATGGGGCGGGGAGATGGAAAGCGGGAGAAAGGGGCGGGGTGATGGAAAGCGGGAGAATGGGGCGGGCTGATGGAAAGCGGGAGAATGGGGCGGGGTGATGGATGGAGGGAGAATGGGGCGGGGTGATGAAGGAGAGAGAAGGGGGCGGGGTGATGGAAAGTGGGAAAATGTGGCGGGGTGATGGAAAGCGGGAGAATGGGGTGGGGTTATGGGAAGCGGAAGAATGGGGCGGGGTGATGGAAGCGGGAGAATGGGGCGGGGTGATGGAATGAGGGAGAATGGGGCGGGTGATGGAAGGAGGGAGAATGGGGCGGGGTGATGGAAAGCGGGAGAATGGGGCGGGGTGATGGAAAGCGGGAGAATGGGGGGGGGTGATGGAAAGCGGGAGAATGGGGCGGGTTGATGGAAAGCGAGAGAATGGGGCGGGGTGATGGAAGGAGGGAGAATGGGGAGGGGTGATGGAAAGCGGGGTATGGGGCGGGATGATGGGAAGCGGAAGAATGGGGCGGGGTGATGGAAAGTGGGAGAATGGGGCGGGGTGATGGAAAGCGGGAGAATGGGGCGGGGAGATGGAAAGCGGGAGAAAGGGGAGGGGTGATGGAAAGCGGGAGAATGGGGCGGGCTGATGGAAAGCGGGAGAATGGGGCGCGGTGATGGAAGGAGGAGAATGGGGCGGGATGATGGAAAGCGGGAGAATGGGGTGGGGTTATGGGAAGCAAGAGAATGGGGCGGGGTGATGGAATGCGGGAGAATGGGGCAGGGTGATGGAAGGAGGGATAATGGGGCGGGGTGATGGAAGGAAGGAGAATGGGGCGGAGTGATGGAAAGCGGGAGAATGGGGCGGGGTGATGGAAGGAGGGAGAATGGGGCGAAATGATGGAAAGCGGGAGAATGGGGCGGGGTGATGGAAAGCGGGAGAATGAGGCGGGGTGATGGAAAGCGGGAGAATGGGGCGGGGTGATGGAAATCGGGAGAATGGGGCGGGGTGATGGAAAGCGGGAGATTGGGGAGAGGTGATGGAAATCGGGAGAATGGGGCGGGGTGATGGAAAGCGGGAGAATGGGGCGGGGTGATGGAAGGAGGGAGAATGGGGCGGGGTGATAGAAAGGGGGAGAATGTGGCGGGGTGATGGAAAGTGGGAGAATGGGGTGGGGTTATGGGAAGCGGGAGAATGGGGCGGGGTGATGGAAAGCGGGAGAATGGGCGGGGTGATGGAAGGAGGGAGAATGGGGCGGGGTGATGGAAGGAGGGAGAATGGGGCGGTGTGATGGAAAGCGGGAGAATGGGGCGGGGTGATGGAAGGAGGGAGAATGGGGCGGGGTGATGGAAAGCGGGAGAATGGGGCGGGGTGATGGAAAGCGGGAGAATGGGGCGGGGTGATGGAAAGCGGGAGAGGGGCGGGGTGATGGAAAGCGGGAGAATGAGGCGGGGTGATGGAAAGCGGGAGAATGGGGCGACGTGATGGAAGGAGGGAGAATGGGGCGGGATGATGGAAAGCGGGAGAATGGGGCGGGATGATGGAAAGCGGGAGAATGGGGCAAGGTGATGGAGAGCGGGAGAATGGAGCGGGGTGATGGAGAGCGGCAGAATGGGGCGGGGTGATGGAAAGCGGGAGAATGGGGCGGGGTGATGGAAAGCGGGAGAATGGGCGGGTGATGGAAAGCGGGAGAATGGGGCAGGGTGTTGGAAAGTGGGAGAATGGGGCGGGGTGATGGAAAGCGGGAGAATGGGGCGGGGTGATGGAAAGCGGGAGAATGGGGCGGGTTGATGGAAAGCGGGAGAATGGGGCGGGGTGATGGAAGGAGAGAGAATGGGCGGGGTGATGGAAAGCGGGAGAATGGGGCGGGGTGATGGAAGGCGGGAGAATGGGGCGGGGTGATGGAAGGAGGGAGAATGGGGCGGGGTGATGGAAAGCGGGAGAATGGGGCTGGGTGATGGAATGCGGAAGAATGGGGCGGGGTGATGGAAAGCAGGAGAATGGGGCGGGGTGATGGAAGGAGGGAGAATGGGGCGAGGTGATGGAAGAAGGGAGAATGGGGCGGGGTGATGGAAAGCCGGAGAATGGGCGGGGTGATGGAAAGCGAGAGAATGGGGCGGGGTGATGGAAAGCGGGAGAATGGTGCGGGGTGATGGAAAGCGGGAGAATGGTGCGGGGTGATGGAAAGCGGGAGAATGGTGCGGGGTGATGGAAAGAGGGAGAATGGTGTGGGGTGATAGAATGCGGGAGAATGGGGCGGGGTGATGGAAAGAGGGAGAATGGGGCGGGGTGATGGACAGAGGGAGAATGGGGTGGGGTGACGGAAAGCGGTAGAATGGGGCGGGGTGATGGAAAGCGGGAGAATGGGGCGGGGTGATGGAAAGAATGAGAATGGGGTGGGGTGATGGAAAGAGGGAGAATGGGGCGGGTGATGGAAAGCAGGAGAATGGGGCGGGGTGATGGAAAAAGGGAGAATGGGGAGGGGTGATGGAAAGAGTGAGAATTGGGCGGGGTGATAGAAAGCGGGACAATGGAGCGGGATGATGGAAAGCGCGAGGATGGGGCGGGGTGATGGAAAGCGGGAGAATGGGGCGGGGTGATGGAAAGAGGGAAAATGGCGCGGGGTGATGGAAAGCGGGAGAATGGGGCGGGTTGATGGAAAGAGGGAGAATGGGGCGGGGTGATGGAAAGAGGGAGAATGGGGAGGGGTGATGGAAGGAGGGAGAATTGGGCGCGGTGATGGAAAGGGGGAGAATGGAAAGGGGTGATTGAAAGCGGGAGAATGGGGCAGGGTGACGGAAAGTGGGAGAATGGGGCGGGGTGATGGAAAGAGAGAGAATGGGGAGGGGTGATGGAAAGCGGGAGAATGTGGCGGGGTGGTGGAAAGAGGGAGAATGGGGCGGGGTGATGGAAAGAGGGAAAATGGGGCGGGTTGATAGAAAGCGGGAGAATGGGGGGGGGGTGATAGAAAGAGGGAGAATGGGGAGGGGTGATAGAAAGAGGGAGAATTGGGCGGGGTGATGGAAAGCGGGAGAATGGGGAGGGGTGATAGAAAGAGGGAGAATGGGGTGGGGTGATGGAAAGCGGGAGATTGGGGCAGGGTGATGGAAAGCGGGAGAATGGGGCGGGGTGATGGAAGGAGGGAGAATGGGGCGGGGTGATGGAAGGAGGGAGAATGGGGCGGGGTGATGGAAGGAGAGAGAAGGGGGCGGGGTGATGGAAAGTGGGAGAATGTGGCGGGGTGATGGAAAGCGGGAGAATGGGGTGGGGTTATGGGAAGCGGGAGAATGGGGCGGGGTGATGGAAAGCGGGAGAATGGGGCGGGTGATGGAAGGAGGGAGAATGGGGCGGGGTGATGGAGGGAGGGAGAATGGGGCGGAGTGATGGAAAGCGGGAGAACAGATGGTGAGATGAAAGTTTCTCTTTCATCTGATGGTGAGATGAAAGTACCTCTGTCATCAGATGGTGAGATGAAAGTACCTCTGTCATCACGTGCCTGGTGTCCTCCGATCCGCAGTGAGTTTCCCTGTCATCGCCAGTGTGGGGCACGGGCTCATTTTCCTCATGTACTTGCCCTCCTTCCCCCTCCTCCCTCTGCTGGTCAGGGCCAAGGCTTTCGACCTTGACCTGGTGGGCCTGGTGTCGTCAAGCCCTCAAGCCTTCAAGCCTTCAAGCCCTCAAGCCCTCAAGCCCTAAAGCCTTCAAGCCTTCAAGCCTTCAAGCCTTCAAGCCTTCAAGAATTCAAGCCTTCAAGCCCTCAAGCCCTCAAACCCTCAAGCCCTCAAGCCCTCAAGCCCTCAAGCCCTCAAGCCCTCAAGCCCTCACGCCCTCACGCCCTCAAGCCCTCAAGCCCTCACGCCCTCAAGCCCTCAAGCCTTCAAGCCCTCAAGCCTTCAAGCCTTCAAGCCTTCAAGCCCTCAAGCCTTCAAGCCCTCAAGCCTTCAAGCCTTCAAGCCCTCAAGCCCTCAAGCCCTCAAGCCTTCAAGCCCTCAAGCCCTCAAGCCCTCAAGCCCTCAAGCCCTCAAGCCTTCAAGCCTTCAAGCCTTCAAGCCTTCAAGCCTTCACGCCCTCAAGCCCTCAAGCCCTCAAGCCCTCAAGCCCTCAAGCCCTCAAGCCCTCAAGCCTTCAAGCCTTCAAGCCTTCAAGCCTTCAAGCCCTCAAGCCCTCAAGCCTTCAAGCCTTCAAGCCTTCAAGCCTTCAAGCCCTCAAGCCCTCAAGCCCTGAAGCCCTCAAGCATTCAAGCCTTCAAGCCTTCAAGCCCTCATCCCATCAAGCCTTCAAGCCCTCAAGCCCTCAAGCCCTCAAGCCCTTACGCACTCAAGCCCTCAAGCCTTCAAGCCTTCAAGCCTTCAAGCCTTCAAGCCTTCAAGCCTTCAAGTCCTCAAGCCTTCAAGCCCTCAAGCCTTCAAGCCCTCAAGCCCTCAAGCCTTCAAGCCTTCAATCCTTCAAGCCTTCAAGCCTTCAGGCCCTCAAGCCCTCAAGCCTTCAAGCCCTCAAGCCCTCAAGCCCTCAAGCCCTCAAGCCTTCAAGCCTTCAAGCCCTCAAGCCTTCAAGCCCTCAAGCCTTCAAGCCCTCAAGCCGTCAAGCCCTCAAGCCTTCAAGCCTTCAAGCCCTCAAGCCCTCAAGCCCTCAAGCCCTCAAGCCCTCAAGCCTTCAAGCCCTCAAGCCTTCAAGCCTTCAAGCCCTCAAGGCCCCATTCTCCCGCTTTCCATCACCCCGCCCCATTCTCCCGCTTTCCATCACCCCGCCCCATTCTCCCGCTTTCTATCACCCCGCTCCATTCTCCCGCTTTCCATCAACCCGCCCCATTCTCCCGCTCTCTATCACCCCGCCCCGTTCTCCCTCTTTCCTTCACCCCGCCCCATTCTCCCGCTTCCCATCACCCCGTCCCATTCTCCCTCTTCCCATCACCCCGCCCCATTCTCCCGCTTTCGATCACCCCACCCCATTATCCCGCTTTTTATCACCCCGCCCCATTCTCCCGCTTTCCATCACCCCGCCCCATTCCCCGGCTTCCCATCACCCTGCCCAATTCTCCCTCTTCCCATCACCCCGCCCCATTCTCCCGCTTTCCATCACCCCGCCCCATTCACCCGCTTTCCATCACCGCGCCCCATTCTCCCCCATCACCCCACCCCATTCTCCTGCTTTCCATCACCCCGCCCCATTCTACCTCTTTCCATCACCCTGCCCCATTCTCTCGCTTTCCATCACCCCGCCCCATTCTCCCGCTTTCCATCACCCCGCCCCATTCTCCCTCTTTCCATCATCCCGGCCCATTCTCTCGCTTTCCATCACCCCGCCCCATTCTACCTCTTTCCAACACCCCGCCTTATTCTCCCTCTTTCCATCACCCCGCCCCATTCTCCCGCTTTCCATCACCCCGCCCCATTCTCCCGCTTTCTATCACCCCGCTCCATTCTCCCGCTTTCCATCACCTCGCCCCATTCTCCCGCTTTCCATTACCCCGCCCTATTCTCCCGCTTTCCATCACCCTGCCCCATTCTCCCGCTTTCCATCACCCCGCCCCATTCTCCCGCTTTCGATCACCCCGCCCCATTCTCCCGCTTTCCATCACCCCGCCCTATTCTCCCGCTTTCCTTCACCCCGCCCCATTCCCCCGCTTCCCATCACCCCAGCCCATTCGCCCTCTTCCCATCACCCCGCCTCGTTCTCCCGCTTTCCATCACCCCGCCCCATTCTCCTGCTTTCCATCACCCCGCCCCATTCTCCCTCTTTCCATCACCCCACCCCATTCTCCTGCTTTCCATCACCCCGCCCCATTCTCCCTCTTTCCATCACCCCGCCCCATTCTCCCGCTTTCCATCACCCCGCCCCATTCTCCCGCTTTCCATCACCCCGCCCCATTCTCCCGCTTTCCATCACCCCGCCCCATTCTCCCGCTTTCCATCACCCCGCCCCATTCTCCCGCTTTCCATCACCCCGCCCCATTCTCCTTCTTTCCATCACCCCGCCCCATTCTCCCTCTTTCCATCACCCCAACCCATTCTCCTGCTTTCCATCACCCCGCCCCATTCTCCCTCTTTCCATCACCCCGCCCCATTCTCCCGCTTTCCATCACCCCGCCCCATTCTCCCGCTTTCCATCACCCCGCCCCATTCTCCCGCTTTCCATCACCCCGCCCCATTCTCCCGCTTTCCGTCACCCCGCCCCATTCTCCTGCTTTCCATCACCCCGCCCCATTCTCCCGCTTTCCATCACCCCGCCCCATTCTCCCGCTTTCTATCACCCCGCTCCATTCTCCCGCTTTCCATCACCTCGCCCCATTCTCCCGCTTTCCATTACCCCGCCCTATTCTCCCGCTTTCCATCAACCCGCCCATTCTCCTGCATTCCATCACCCCGCCCCATTCTCCCGCTTTCCATCACCCCGCCCCATTCTCCCGCTTTCCATCACCCCGCCCCATTCTCCCTCTTTCCATCACCCCGCCCCATTCTCCCTCTTTCCTTCACCCCGCCCCATTCTCCCGCTTGCCATCACCCCGCCCCGTTCTCCCTCTTCCCATCACCCCGCCCCATTCTCCTGCTTTCGATCACCCCGCCCAATTCTCCCGCTTTCCATCACCCCGCCCTATTCTCCCGCTTTCCTTCACCCCGCCCCATTCCCCCGCTTCCCATCACCCCAGCCCATTCGCCCTCTTCCCATCACCCCGCCCCATTCTCCCTCTTTCCATCACCCCACCCCATTCTCCTACTTTCCATCACCCCGCCCCATTCTCCCTCTTTCCATCACCCCGCCCCATTCTCCCGCTTTCCATCACCCCGCCCCATTCTCCCGCTTTCCATCACCCCGCCCCATTCTCCCGCTTTCCATCACCCTTCCCCATTCTCCCGCTTTCCATCACCCCGCCCCATTCTCCCGCTTTCCATCACCCCGCCCCATTCTCCCGCTTTCCATCACCCCGCCCCATTCTCCCACTTTCCATCACCCCGCCCCATTCTCCTGCTTTCCATCACCCCGCCCCATTCTCCCGCTTTCCATCAGCCCACCCCATTCTCCCGCTTTCCATCACCCTGCCCCTTTCTCCCGCTTTCCATCACCCCGCCCCATTCTCCCGCTTTCCATCACCCCGCCCCATTCTCCCGCTTTCCATCACCCCGCCCCATTCTCCCGCTTTCCATCACCCCGCCCCATTCTCCCGCTTTCCATCACCCAGCCCCATTCTCCCGCTTTCCATCACCCCGCCCCATTTTCCCGCTTTCCATCACCCCGCCCCATTCTCCCGCTTTCCATCACCCTGCCCCAGTCTCCCGCTTAACATCACCCCACCCCATTCTCCCTCCTTCCATCACCCCGCCCCATCCTCCCGCTTTCCATCACCCCGCCCCATTCTCCCGCTTTCCATCACCTCGCCCCATTCTCCCGCTTTCCATCACCCCGCCCCATTCTCCCGCTTTCCATCACCCAGCCCCATTCTCCCGCTTTCCATCACCCCGCCCCATTCTCCCTCCTTCCATCACCCCGCCCCATTCTCCCGCTTTCCATCACCCCGCCCCATTCTCCCTCCTTCCATCACCCCGCCCCATTCTCCCGCTTTCCATCATCCCGCCCCATTCTCCCTCCTTCCATCACCCCGCCCATTCTCCCTCCTTCCATCACCCCGCCCCATTCTCCCGCTTTCCATCACCCCGCCCCATTCTCCCGCTTTCCATCACCCCGCCCCATTCTCCCTCCTTCCATCACCCCGCCCCATTCTCCCGCTTTCCATCATCCCGCCCCATTCTCCCGCTTTCCATCACCCCTCCCCTTTCTCCCGCTTTCCATCTCCCCGTCCCATTCTCCCGCTTTCCATCACCCCGCCCCATTCTTCCGCTTCCCATCATCCCGCCCCATTCCCCCGCTTTCCATCACCCCTCCCCATTCTCCCTCCTTCCATCACCCCGCCCCATTCTTCCGCTTTCCATCACCCGCCCCATTCTCCCGCTTTCCATCACCTCGCCCCATTCTCCCGCTTTCCATCACCCCGCCCCATTCTTTTGCTTTCCATCACCCCGCCCCATTCTCCCGCTTTCCATCACCGTGCCCCATTCACCCGCTTTCCATCACCCGCCCCATTCTCCCGGTTTCCATCACCCCGCCCCATTCTCCCGCTTTCCATCACCCGCCCCATTCTCCCGCTTTCCATCACCCCGCCCCATTCTCCCGCTTTCCATCACTTCGCCCCATTCTCCCGCTTTCCATCACTCCGACCCATCCTCCCGCTTTCCATCACCCCGACCCATTCTCCCACTTTCCATCACCCCGCCCCATTCTCCCTCCTTCCATCACCCTGCCTCATTCTCCCTCCTTCCATCACCCCGCCCCATTCTCCCGCTTTCCATCACCTCGCCCCATTCTCCCGCTTTCCATCACCCAGCCCCATTCTCCCGCTTTCCATCACCCCGCCCCATTTTCCCGCTTTCCATCACCCCGCCCCATTCTCCCGCTTTCCATCACCC